ACAGAGGCAGCTGGTAAAGACTGATCGGTCTATAGCTGGAGGCATCAGAACTGTCCTTTCCTGGTTTAAGCAGAGGTATTGTGATTGCTTCTCTCCATATTTGAGGAACTTTGCCACTGGTCCAACAATGATTAAAGATCTGTAGGAGCTTTATTTTGGCAGTTGTTCCAAGGTTCTTGATCATTTCGTTGGTGATTCCATCAGTTCCAGGTGATTTTCCCATTCTCAGCTTTGATATTGCTAACTCTAACTCGCTGGATGTAAATGCTGCCACCAGTGCCTCAGGAATTATATCTTTTTGTCTTGTATGTTGTTTGTTTTCTTGAACCTCTCGCTGTTTCTCTGGGCTGACATTAATGTTGCTGTCTTCTGCAAAGGAATCTGCAAAGTGGTCAGCTGCCTGTTTTCTTGTTAGGATGGCTCCCTCTTTGCACAGTGCAATATAACCATTTCTCCCTGTATTTCTCATCATTAATTTGCTTAATTAACCTCCACAACTTCCTTGTGTCTCTTTCAAAGTTTAGGGACTTTTGTCTTTTTCCTGCCAGCTTCTCCGTCTAGCCTGCAGTTTGGCTCTTTGAAATTTGGCCTTTGAATGTTGGTAGTTGTTTTCTTTTAATTCTTGAGTGTTGAAATTATTATTCGAAAAAATATTGGAAAATATCGTTAGTTCGTAGCACTAGAATATGTGAACAATTTATTTTATGTAATTTTTTTTTACCAGTGTGTGAATTTGTTTACGAATGAGACAAAAATAAGATATATGGGGGGAGGGGGGGGGGGGGTGACTGTTTAAAAGGGTTGCGGGTGGGGGGCATATGCCTAATTCACAGAGTAACGAATGCTATGCACGCAAACAGTATCATAAATTCCTGGAACATACTGACAAACAGATACAGCATTTGTTAGGGCTTCGTCATAACCACATTTCGAATATTGGATGGCTAAAAGGGTAGTGTGGTTAAAATAAATTTAAACACACACACACACACAGCATACACGTGCAAAAAATGACATTTATTCCTAAATATACACAGAAATGAAGAGGAAGACAGAGACAGCGGCTTACTGGACAGCCCAGTGATTTTAGAGATAATATATATGTATTTATAAGATTGTCGGCGTCTGTGGCTAAGGCGTTGCCAATGCGCTTCGTAATGCAAGGGCACCGGGTTTGATCCCGCTGCATGCCTTGCGCCTTGAGTTGGTTTGGATAGTGGTATTGAGAAGTCGACCGTCCGGAAAGCAAAGGTTAACTACTAGATGTAAATTTGCCTGTAAAAACCACAACAGCCAAAAAATGCTGGGGTTGGTTCTGTAACGTCCTGTAAAGGATACGCAACTAACATTTTTATATATTTAAGATTAAGGTCTTTAAAATAATAAATTACAGAAAGGATTGGAAATTGTTAGCAATCAATGTTTGTTCCATACTAGGTATCTGTTGAAGAAGCTATGCTTATGAAAAGAAAACAGGACTGTCCATATAAGAAAAATGTTATAGGTGTGTTTCTAAAGATATTTACACAATTAGTTAGAAAGCGTTCATGGCAAGGTATTTCTGTAGAACTAAATAACACATTTTCTTTCAATTCCGCGTTCGCCCTTTTAAATAATAGCGTTATGTTGTAGTATACAACCAGGATGCGAAATGTTTGCCTAATGAATTTCTTCAAACCATTAATTAGTCGAATTTTAATATATGCGTGACGGGGTGCCGAAACACGGACGGGAGAAATTGCTTTTTCAGAGGTTTGTTAAAAAACTGTTAGCTATATTATGTCTGCATTTTGTACTTTTAATATAACACATGCAAGTTTCGGAAAATATAAAAATTCGCATAGTTGTTTAACTAAGATTTCAGAACAATAACAAACCTTAAACTCCTTTTCCATTTTGCTGTGCCCAGAAGCAGTTTTCTCCTCTAGCTCATCAATTTTCTGACTGAGATCACCTGAAGCTATAGTGGTACCGAGGCATGCAATGGCAACTTGAGCAGCTTCGTGTAAGAATATGAACTGTTCCTAAAGAATATATTTGATATCGTAGTACATAATTTCATTTTAATAAAGTCCACTTTCTAAAAGGTGCCGTGGTGGTGTTGAGGCTAGTCGCTTGGGTACGGGACAAATTGTCATGGGTTCAAATCCGTATCAAGCTATATTTTTTTTTCTCAAATGATCTTGGCTCCCAGTCTTGGCCTAGCCCGAAATTAGGTGCCCACTGGTCTATGAAATTATAGCCTATTACTAAAAGTAAATCAGCGAGCTTCACAATATAACAAACACAAGAGGAAAGTGGACGTTGCAGCTACAGAGCCTTCAGCAGCACATACATAAATCAAACAAAACCGTTCAAATAAACAACATGACTTAACTGACGTATTCCGAAGCAGCCACGTGGATGTCTTGCCAGTAGTATGAAAAATTAGGTGTGACCCAAAAATATATAATCAGGGAATTCTAAGAGCCGTAGCTCGATAATAGCCGGGACGCCTAAGAGCATAGAAGAGGGGTCTAGCTCTTTCCGTATCAAGAAACTCACCTTACGGTCATTGGTTACACTATGTGTGGTACACATTTCTTCTCTTTTCCTGTAAGCATGTCTTCACATTTCTCAACTCATTCTTGTCTTCTGTTAAACCCGTTTTCCCTAAACTTTATACTATAACATCGTCTCTCCGTAAGCTGTATTGTTTAGCTCTATGAGGCTAAACAATTTTTGCTCTAGGACAGAAAAACCTTAGCATAAACACTGTTGATTTTTCAACAGTATCTGAGTCTGAGAGAGTTAGAGAACACATTTTATACCATAATGCAGAATAAATTTTTTTTCTGACAATGTCAGCTCATTAAGATGCTTAATTATTTGTCACAGGTATTAGTTAACTAAAACAATCGTGTTAGCAGAGGCAGGGGACGACCACCACAACAATTGAGACCAAATATCAAGAATGCCCTGGCTTTCACAGTTTGTGAAACAGGACAGTTAGCAAGGGACTATGTGGCTCTCCGGCTTGCTGTGTTGATATCGACGTTCTACAAAATACCTGCAACATGATGAGGATGATGATGATGATAATGATGTTTTTTGTTGTTGTTGATGACGATGATGATGATACTAATGGTGGCAATGATGATAACGATGATGACGAAGACGATGATGATGATTTTGTGAAAACATGTTGCAAATCTGGCACATTGTGTTAAGCCCATATTTGAATAAGTTAATCAATACTTGACAAGTGATGTGGTCAGCATCACGCCGGCTATCTTCACTTCCCATGATATTTCTTGATACTAATTTCCATCTTTGGTGAAATACAGTAAAACATAATTAACACCCACTTGCTTAAGAAGAACAACTGGTTGACATGAAAAAAAAAATGTTCCTCCCAGTATGGACGTATTATTAGCATTAGTACTGTTAGCACTCATCTTATTTAACCACCTCGATTTTTTAGTCACTTGAAATTCGTGTTTTAGCGCTATTCGTACACTACGCTTTGTCGGTTAAGTAGTGTCTTTATATCTTATCCACATTAGTCTGAAACTTGAACCCTTCCACTGACGTTAGCTTATATTCCTTCAGAGTTTATGCATTTATATGTTGGTAATTTAGTTGAATATCATGATATGCCTGCAAAAAAAAACAGCTCTCACATGGATACCAGAGAAAAATAGAAAAAAAGGGGCTCCCAAAAACAATATGGGGACGAACGATGGAGAGTGACCTGAATGCGGCATTTCTGACATGGAAAACTGCACTAAAGATTGTACAGGACAGGAGAGCATAAAAAAATCCTCTCTGAAGCCTCATGCGCAACTAGGCATAAAGAGAACTGAATGTAGTTGGTATGTTTCACATCGTATAGACTGGTTAGCACATTTCCGCTTTTCCAGACGGTAGTGTAACATTGTGCTAAATTAAGGCATCAATGTTCAGGTGGCTGGATCACCCCCGGAGAAAGAAGGTTAGCAGAGTTCCTAAGGACATTCTCTATAGCGAATAAAAGACTGGTAGAAGATGTCGAGGTCGGCCTCTACTACGATATAAAGATGTGTGCAAGCGGGACATGGATGATACAGGTACTGAGGTGGGCTCGTGGGATCAAAATGCCAAGCACAGTGTTGTGTGAGGGAGAAAATTAAAAAAGAGAATATGAAATAAGAAAGAAATGATTTCAGAAAGAATGAGAGCTGAGCGTCTGAGAAGAAACAGGCCAAACAAAAATGTTGACAACAACGATCTTCAAATCCCGTGCTAAAATTGTGGAAGACTGTTCTTAACTCGGGCAGGTCTTGCAGGTCACACTCGTTATCACCCTAGACTGTCAGTCCCACGCCTCCTCATAGAGCAATATAACACCATTGTCTGGAAAGACGAACAAGTGCCAGTCAATCGTACTGAGGCATTGGAATGACTGCCCGTGACGAATGCGAGCATGACTAGCAAAACTAGCTTGTGTAAAGAATCATCTTCCGCGATTACATTGAATTTCATGACCATGGTTTCCATTGCCTGTATTTAACATGCTGTGTCTAAGACCTTCAGAACTTAGCTAGTTTGCAATCATTTTTTTTCATCATTTATCTCTGCATGATTTTATTCAGCCTAAGCAACATGACCTATAGCATTCTTACCACGGATTCTACCTCAATACGTCCATCATTTATGTCCTGCTTGAATACACTTTCAAATATTAGTGTGATGCCGACCTCGACCTCTTTTACCCATCTGTAGTTCAGCATAGAGGCACCCTTAGGGACTCTACCAGCATCCATCTTCCAAATGGGTTCTTGTCATCTAAGTCTTCAAAGACTGAACATTGAGAAAACTGTTACCTATTCTTTCTAATATCTGTCAACAGCCTATGAGTTGCACAGGATGACTATGACACTTTCGTACACGCGGATTGTTCTTATATAGGGCATTTATCTGGTAGTAGGCAACGGTATCTAGTACCGGCATTCATTGTTCAGGCATATTTTTCTTGGCATGGCAAATCTAAAGACATTCTGTAGTAAGTACTGGCACTTTTTTTTTTATTTCTACACACACACACACACAAAGCAGACCTGGTTTAATATAGCTGATAAGCACCTCCTTTCTCAACTCAGTTTACAAAGATTATTCAATCAGTACGTCATGACATGTGAAGAATGTCATGGAAGTTGCCTGATCTTGTCTTTACGTTGGATTGTGTCCACGGCAGCTCTCTTCAACTCGTAAGTCTGTCCTCAATATCCTTGTGTGCTTGGGAAATGTGCTTCTCCGCTAGGTCATCATATTTCTTTTGTCTTAGGTCCTGTCCGCAAGTATTCTTAGTAACAGAGCCCATTGTTTCACACTGTCATAAAACCGAGATAAACTTTTGTTGTTATTGTTTTGTTGTCAATTTTTACTTGTTTTCTCCTTTGACAATAAAAAAAAAACTGTCCGTTCAATTAATTTTTTTTTTTTTTTTAGTGTTTTCTCTGCATCATTTTGATTAGATAGTATTATAAGTAAGTAAGGCATGTTACAGATATTTCTTACATACAGATACATGAGTTTGTGTCTTGTTTGTAGTAATGTCCTTTTTTAAATCTAATGTACTGATAAACGCTGTCTAGTTGAAATTTTCATTGTTCGTTTTTGTGTTTGTGATATCGTAGAGGTGAATCCAACTCGTTTTAACTAATACATGTTCATAGTGAATAAGTTAAATAGAGGATTCTATCACAAAATTAGCACACAAATTCAACATTACACTTACAACAGTCTGAATCATGTTGATCCTGTCTTGCCTTAGCTTGCATAATGTAGTGTAAAAATCCATGTGCCCCGTGTCCTCTGCCTCTTTTATGACATTTCTCAGAGCAATAAATGTGCCAGTTCTTCCTACACCAGCACTGAAAGTATACCAGAAAAGAAATATTGTCAGGTTTGTCTTTGAGGAATACATTGGCTACTCAATCTACACAGATATCAAACTGAATAACACTAAAAGGAAGCTTCAAATGGCAAGTAGATGAACAAAGAAGATTTCTGTCAATCACTGTCATTATCGTCATCAACGTTCACTTTCCAGTTAAGCGTTGCAGGGAGCGGGAAAACAGAACAGTATGCTCTTTAGCTTTGGGTGGGTAGCAATGGCCTTTGCCATTCCGTGCTGATGTGTAATAATTTTAGATTTTCAAACAGGAAACAGATTGTGATTTTTTTGGCCAGCCAAAGGTCTTGCTCTATATTTTTTCACTGTTTCATTCACACATTCTATCCAGACTGCGAAATGTATGTCTCCCTGCTTTCCATATCTTCTTCTTCTTCTTCTTTTTCTTCTTCTTCTTCTTCTTCTTCTTCTTCTTCTTCTTCTTCTTCTTCTTCTTCTTCTTTTCTTCTTTCTTCTTCTTCTTCTTCTTCTTCTTCTTCTTCTTCTTCTTCTTCTTCTTCTTCTTCTGCTTTTTCTTCTTCTTCTTCTTCTTCTTCTTCTTCTTCTTCTTCTTCTTCTTCTTCTTCTTCTTCTTCTTCTTCTTCTTCTTCTTCTTCTTCTTCTTCTTCTTCTTCTTCTTCTTCTTCTTTTTCTTCTTCTTCTTCTTCTTCTTCTCCTTCTTCTCTTTTTCGATTTCCCCGGCTTTAAACTCCGGCAGAAAGTTATGGTTCTTCATCAACTTCTGGACTATAATTCTGTTCCAGAAGTTTAGATTCACGTGCACATCCTTATTGTAGATCTGGCTTGTTTGTATGCAGACCGTTGGTTTCTCTGACTAAGAAAGATAAAGTCTACTCTTAACGACAGGCTCGTTAGGGAGCAGTGAGTCTTTTCTTTTCACCTCTGCAATGGGGTCCTGGAACTCTCACGGGTTACTTGCCCTTTCAGTCCGAGACTTTTAACAATTTCATGTTCAACATCGTGGGGTATGCGGGTTAAAGTATCAACAGTCTGGGACACACACACACACACACAGAGAGAGAGAGAGAGAGAGAGAGAGAGAGAGAGAGAGAGAGAGAGAGAGAGAGTTACTGTTAATTGCCCATGTTCTTAGGGCCGTTCTAACAACATTATGAACCCCAGGACAAACCAGCGTGCTGAGTCTCCTAGGATAACCATTTCTAGGAATAAAATATGAATGGTAGATAATATTAAACTTTTTTTTTTGGGGGGGGGGGGGGGGGGGAGGCACATCAACAAAGATAGTGTTAAAACATAAACATAGATTAGATGGCACGGTGTGAATTTGCTACGAACGTCTCATCATAAAAAGCATTAGAGTCATTTCTTTTCACAGACAGGGTTTATTATTGGCTTGAAGTCAGTAAAAAGTACAAATCTATTTTTACGCCTTAGGCGCATCGGAAAACCTGGGAAGAGAACCCCATATTTTTACAGACCATCGGCACTAGGTGGGTAATATGGTCAGCATTACGCCGGCCGTCTTTACTTCCCCAGGACATCCGTCCTGGTACCCATTTTAGGCTGGGTCGACCTGCGACGCCCTATATCATGATTAAAAATCCATGCCGCCAGCAGTGGGTTTCGGTGGAATTATGAGCCACTGACGCTGCACTTAAAGTCAGTAGTCATCAGAAAATCATTTTCCATATGCATGAGTGAAATTCAGTTCAAACGACGCTGACTCATTGTGTTATGAAGTAAACATTTTCATAGCTTTCAGTCTTAAATAAAAATTAAAAAAAAAAAAAAATTTCTCCAGAAGTTAATTATCACAATGAATATAGGCACTCTGAGTGCAATTTCAGCATTCTGGAAAACAGATTTTATTTTGTCCAAAATTATTTCTCTGTACAGTGCAAAGTGTACAGAATAGGGAAGAAGGTTTCCACCTTGAACTGTTTGGTTTTCCTTAGAGAAACCTCCTCTGGCAGCTCTGCTAACTCATCATATCTACTGTCGCAGGCGTTGTTGTCGTTCTCATGTTTTTCCCCAACGTTGTAATCTGTGTCTACACAGGTACTCATGGCTTTGAAAACATATTCACTCAATTTTGTCCTTAGTTTCCCGGAAATAGGTTTTCAAAGACTCAAGAAAATGTTTGGCAAAAATGGAGGTTAGCGTCCTTTAATTGTTTTATTCATTCTTTCTAGCATGTCATTGCAAAGAATTATGACAAAGATTGTTTTCAGGTTTCCATTTGTTTATATTCTTCTGCCTCTCTCCTTGTATTTACTATCTGTTCATTATCATCTGATCGAGAATACAGTGCGCATTTTCATTTCTCCAAAGCCCCTAACAGAACATGTACACTATCAAAATATGCTGACCATCGTATGCCAGGCCGACTGTTTACCACACAATATTTTCCTAAAGATGATGTCAAAACGTTCCACTGATAAGAAGAAGCAGGGGAAAAAAACCAGTTCTGATGCTGAACATAGCCAAAGAATGTTACAAAATGTAGACTTAGTATAGACAATGGTCAGCTTTTATTCCCACTAAGTTCAGGCTGTGCCCACACATGGGAGCATAGATGTCAAACACAGAGAGCTGCTGAATCCACCCTTGCAATCCAGTATATTGTCCAGACATATTATTGAAATAAACTTGAACTCTTTTACTTCTCAAAGATCGTACAAAGAACCTGTTGTCTGATTAATTCAATAAATTTATCACCAATAAAGGCATATAAATACGACGCATTTCCTTTTCCTGAATTTCCATACATTTAGAGGTCTTTAAAGAAAGGGTCAAATTCACCCTGGCGTAATGCTGACCACATTACCCACCGAGTGCCGATTGGTCTGTAAAAATTTGGGAGCTCTTCCCATATGCCGTATTCGCCTAAGGGCGTGTAAAGGGATCTCTACTTACTTTGGTCACAAATTCACCCAGCGTCGCTAGCTAAATAGCTGCCATTTTCTGCTGACCCAATAATCTTTTTTTTTATTTGCCAAATAGCAAATATGTGTGTGTGTGTGTGTTTGTGTGTGTGTGTGTGTGTGTGTGTGTGTGTGTGTGTGTGTGTGTGTGTGAGAGAGAGAGAGAGAGAGAGAGAGAGAGAGAGAGAGAACTAGTTATTTGATTTTGGTTTATATTAAATAGACTTGATGCAAACATCAAATTTTTTTTTTTATGGCAAGTCACTTTACATATGGGGCCCTTGGATAAGTTCTCAGGGGCCATGCGTTAAGACGACCCTGCATGTTCTCTGAAGCTGCTCCCTTGATCTTGCATCAAATCTGTTTTTAGTTCTTTGGCAACATTTTAACGAGATGACGAAATCATGTGATCTTCTGTTGTTCGATGAATTTTGTTGTTAGGGTTTGCGTTAACAGTCTGCCCATAAAATTATTTCGGGGAGCTGCATGGTCTTGAGTCATGGCGTCCGCCTAGCCTGCTGGAGGTCCAGTGTTCGAACCCCGGTGAAGGCTGCGATTTTTTTCACGTGGACTTATGGTAATTTCTCATGGTGTCTGGTAGTCCTCCAACTTTCCCACTGTCACGATGTACTTCAGTTTTCTATTTCCATCGCATACATAATAATATATAATTTAGGCTTTATACATTGTTTTTTACTATTGTTACTACTTAACAGAAGAATGTGTGTGTATTTGCACCCATTGTACAATACAGATTTTGATTCGACATTTTAATTGTAATTTTTCCTTTGGAAACATTAAAATTTAAATTTAAAAAGAACCCAGACATATTATAGTAAAACACATTTGGTTTATATAGACTTGCCTGCAGTGAATAACAATAGGCTTGTTGGTGGGCTGTGAGAATACCCGCTGCTGGAAATCAACCAGAGCCCAGGGAGTGGAGGGGACGCTCTTGTCAGGCCAGGTGGTGAAGTGGTACTGGGTTACAGTGTGTGTGGCCTGATTCTCCTGACAAGTGATTCAAACAAAGAGATATGTTTCACCAATATTACTGCTCAACAGTACTGATTCTAGTTAGTTATTAATGTAAATAATTCAGCAATTTCCTAAAACGAATGCAAAACACGTTTTTATATGTACATACACACATAGCAGCATAATGGTTCAGAAAATGCTCCAAACACGGCTCCTAATTTTCCTACTATAACCAGAAAAAGATCACTAAATGCATCTGTTATTCCCCGCACGTTATTTAGTTTTCTTGACAATATCTAATTTTAAAAAATATTCATTATTTACTGGATGTAACTAGGGTCTGGCCGGCTCACTACACTCAGAGGAAAGGCAAGATGGACAGATAACCGGATTGTGACCGGTACCATTAGAATTGGAACTCTGCGCTGGCTGTTGAAGATGAGGATGGAGGACTAATGGGAATGCCACGAGTACTATGATGTCAATTTTTGACTCAAGTCAACTCATCTCAACTGGCTGCAATGTTGTTTCTTTTGCTGATTTCATCTAATGTTGAAATACCCATCTATCGGTTATTCCCTACACAGATGACTATTTCAATATGTTGCATGTATTCCTTGTGTCTTTTTGTATTTATTCATTGCAATTTTTATTTCTTGCCCACATCTTCGTGTGACTTGGGTAAATCTGGTTTATCTTGTTCTAATATGAAAACCTAATACGTGTTTGTACACACTATAATTATTTAAACAATACTAATAGCATCAACTTGACTGCACATTGTGTTAAATTTCATCTAATTATAAAAGTCAGTACATCATACCTTTATAAGTTGCAGTTTTCGGATAACACAGTCAGATAACACCTGAGATGAAAGGAGTTTTACAATAATTTCACCCAGTTCCAGATCAGTGGTCTCTGGCCAGTACTGTTCACATTTTTGCTGTGAAATTGATCAGAAACAACATGATATATAAATAAATGAACTAATGGTTCTTAATTTATAACGTACCCCAAACACGAAATCCACGTGGGAAATCCACAGGTGACCTGACAGTCCATTATTTCAAGGGGTGGAAGTGTGCTGTTGTGTGGTGCTTTTTTTTTTGAGTGTTCATCTAGTGTCTTCTAATGCTAACCCTAACCCTAAGTTCCTAACCCTAACCCTAACCCTAACCCTAAGTTCCTAACCCTAACCCTAACCCTAACCCTAACACTAAACTTGGCTGTAGAGAAATCGCGAGAAACTACAACCTGAACACCCTAGAATTTATTGGGAATGTCTCCTGTGACGTTGTCAGGGGTAAGTTATAAATTAAGTTTACAGCCTTTACAATAAGACAACTAATATTAATTATTCAACTCATTAATAATATTGTTACTCATATATCAGATGAAATAATGTATACGGTAATATTCTTCTCCTTCTTAGTTCCTTTTCCTTTTCCTTCTCTGTCTTATCTTCCTTCTCATTCCGGCTCGTTTTTCCTCTAGTCCTGTGTCACCACAATGTCGACTTTTTCATAATACTGATGTTTTGTTTTCGTGAGTCGTTTCCGAGTAGTATACAAATCATATGAAATTGTTCTTGCAGCAGGAAAAAAAGTGACAGCGGCAGGACTTTACAGTAGGCAAATCCAAGATCCCTCAGAAAGTAAGACAGTAAAACGCTGTAACTGGCATGGTTACCATGGGTGCTTCACCTCATATATCGTGGTCTAGATTATGTAAAAACTTAATACCTAACTAGCTGATATACTAAAAGATATGAACATCAAGGAAAACTGGCTCGTTAACAGAACCCGGTCTTGGAAAATGAAATAATTTGATCATATCAAACTCCCACAAACCGTTAAAGAAAAACAGTAGTGGAGGGTAAAAGGGTTATGGGATGACCTGCACGAAGATAGGCACGTGACATAAGAGACACATTGGGCAGGAGTGTGTATGGGGCGGGACAGTATATGAGGCGGGAGTGTATATGAGGAGGGAGTGTATATGAGGCAGAAGTGTGTATGAGGCGGGAGTGTGTATAAGCCGGGATAGTATGAGGCAGGAGAGTGTATGAGACAGGGGTGTATATGAGGCAGGAGTGTATATGGGGCGGGAGTGTGTATCAGGCGGGAGTGTATATAAAGCGGGAGCGTGTGTGAGTCGGGAGTAAGTATGAGGCGGGATAGTGTATGAGGTGGGAGAGTGTATGAGGCAGGAGTGTGTATAAGGCGTGAGTGTGTATGAGGCGGGAGAGTGTATGAGGCAGGAGTGTGTAGAAGGTGGGAGTGTGTATGAGGCAGGAGTGTGTATGAGGCAGGAGTGTGTATGAGGCGGGAGAGTGTATGAGGCAGGAGTGTGTATGAGGCGGGAGAGTGTATGAGGCGGGAGAGTGTATGAGGCAGGAGTGTATATAAGGCGGGAGTGTGTATGAGGCAGGAGTGTGTAGCAGGTGGGAGTGTATATGAGGCAGGAGTGTGTATGAGGCGGGAGAGTGTATGAGGCAGGAGTGTGTATGAGGCGGGAGAGTGTATGAGGCGGGAGAGTGTATGAGGCAGGAGTGTGTATAAGGCGTGAGTGTGTATGAGGCAGGAGTGTGTATGAGGCAGGAGTGTGTATGAGGCAGGAGTGTGTATGAGGCGTGAGAGTGTATGAGGCGGGAGAGTGTATGAGGCAGGAGTGTGTATGAGGCAGGAGTGTGTATGAGGCGGGAGAGTGTATGAGGCAGGAGTGTGTGTAAGGCGTGAGTGTGTATGAGGCAGGAGTGTGTATGAGGCAGGAGTGTGTACGAGGCGGGAGAGTGTATGAGGCAGGAGTGTTTATGAGGTAGAGCTGGCGGAAGACTGAGCTTCTTTTAGAAGACTGTGATGAGAGCGACGTTCTGTAAATGACCTGCTTCATGATGATGATGAAATACTCAACATCCCACAAGTAATGTCAGATTCGATTCGATTCGTAGAAAACAAAAATTCGAAACTTGATCGTCGTTCAACTGACTAAATTCTCTGTTATATTGAGGAGGGTCAATATTAGCCACCTTTACAATGAAGGCTATTTACATCGGCCTGATTTACTTTACCACACTTTGCTAGCGTGTGCCTGCAGAGACGATTCTTGGCAGCCTTTTGGCATGGCATAGACAGTTGTCATGGCAGTAAAGTGTAAAGGCATCAACCAGGTGTTTGATTTTTAATATCTGGGAACAAAATTAACTACAGATGGGAAATTAGATAGCTAACGTTCTCTCGCCCCTCCCCGACCTCCATTTATTTAACAGTATAGTAGAAGAAATCCCGATCAGCACAGAGAAATATATCGTACAAAGCATTTTTATTCCAACTCTATGCTACCAGTGCCAGACATGGAAACTCCCAACAAAACGTAAAAGAAAATTAGTAGCCATGGAATTGAAATGCCTGAGAAAGGCTGCAGGAGTGACCAGAAGAGATGAAACAAGGTCACGCGAGAAAAAGCAGGTACAGAGCCGATTAAAAATTACATACAAAGACAGCAGATCAAATTAATTGTACACTTAGAAAGTGAATGCCTTGTTATGCCATTCCATACCAGGCGTACATCAAAAGAGGGGAAGGACGTAGAGCATATTGTAGACCAAGAACAAGATAGATCGCTAACATCAGAGAATCTCTACAACAGTGACACCTGTTTATCGTCGAAGCGTCCAGGAGAGCAAGAAGCAAAACCTAAAATCCCCATCATCATACGAAGCGGTAAAACAGTATTTTGAAAGAAAAAAAAAAGAAAATGAAGAAGTAGGAGGTTTGTACACAAGCTTAAAAATGATGTTGAGGATCGTAGATTATGAGAATGTGTGATCGCCTTCGCCAGTTCTTAAGTCACTTGATGATGATAAAGAGGAGGAGACGGAGGAGGATGATAAAGAGGATTATGAGGTTGATTATGATTAGAGTAGAGCTGTATTCGCTCGGGTCCGCCTATTAGCCTGGATCAATAAAAACAGATTCCGTTTATTTAAGCAAGCCTGTGTACATAGGTCATCAGACAAACGTGCCATGAGGCGCCAACACAAACAAATCGTTGGGGAAGCAGAGACCATTAGCCCTTCTTAAAATTGGGGAGGGAGCTCACAGTGGTTGAATCCAGTAGTGTAGAAAGAAGGTGCAGGGATGCTGGCTGCTTGATGTGTCATTACTAAGAAAGGGATGATGACAAACTGGCCAGAATAAGTGCTTGAAAAAAATATATATATGTGGAGAAAGTGCAAGAGGGGAGAAAAATGGCCAAAATAAGTGTTTTTAAAATAGACTAAAAAGATAATTAGGGTTAAAAAAAAAAGGCGAGGGGAAGGGGGTTCCACCGCTAATTTTCAGCACAACGTACCACCTGATTTAAATGTTGAATTCGGAATCGACAACACTGCACTCGGGACACTCACATAAGCGCCCCGACCCCATCTTCAGCAGCAAAAGAAGAGTTCCAATACCGATGGCACTAGTTAGTCTCATTGTACATCCATTTCGCCTTTCACTTGAGTGTTGAGTGGCGGCCAGATCCCCTGGCAGCTCCCCGCAGCGCCATTCTCGTCAGACTGTTATAACCTCTTTGTGCCTCCGTACTGTTCACTGGCTTGGCATACGTCTATACACTACCAAGTGGTGTAGAATTAGCCAATCTATCTGTCTCTTCGGTTCTCAATATATCGGCATAACATGAAGAAAATATACGAAGGACACTAACTATATGGCACCTCTGGAGCTAAGCTTGCCACATTGCACGGAGCAAGCCTGTCTCCGCCTTTCTGAACATACTCTGTGAGTCAGTTACAAAAGAACGACATGTGTGTACGACTGATTCTCAATCCAACGGAAGGCAGCAGTGACTGCCTCCACCTCCATTCTCAAAGTAGATTATGACTTTGCTACGCCACTGCCTGAACCCCTAGCAACCAGCGCCTCTGACGCGGACCATCGAGTGACAGGCCTGGGGATCCTTGTATTTAATTAGCGTTTGTGTTTTACATTTTGTTGATTAACGTTACATCCTTGCTTTCACATTCGTGTGAGGCTTTGTTCATTTATTAGGTCAGCAAGACATACGATAAGTTATGAAATCGTACGATTATGCTCCTCCCATATATCCTAACGTGATTTGTTGTTTCCAGCTCTACCTAAGTCTGGATCAGTACTAGACCTCTTTCATATCGAGTTCAAGCCAGAACAGCTTATGCTTTTTATAAAGTTGAGTTTTTTTTTTTTTTTTTGGGCCCTTGTCACTACACGGCATTTTTTTTCCAATTTATGTCAAAAATATCACTTTTTCAATATGTTATTTTTGTAATGTTCGGCATTCGAAGAATATAGATTACACACAAAATTTGTGTCATTGGTAAACAATTTAGCATTGAAAAGTTAATACTAAAGACAGCAACCCATGCACTTTTTTAGGATAAAAAAAAGTTTAAAAGTCACTTTTCTAACAATTCTATTTTTCTGTTTGTTGTGTGTGGGATCTCTTAAAATCTCAGCTAATATAAAGACTAGAGACGTGAAATTTGGAGTGGATACTCCTAACACAATATTATAAGGCCAGGTCTATTTGAAATTACAGTTTATTAAGTAAATTTTTTTTTTTTAATTTGATTATTATCTTAAAAAGCGACATTTTTGTATTTTTTCAACATACCTAAATTTTAATATTCTAAAAAAATATTTAGAAACATCTTTGAAGTAAATAAACTAGACCTGACCCTGAAGAACATAAATTTAAAGTTAATGAATCGATCATCTGTTTCTCAATACCTCTGTTTATTTTTGAAATTTTAGCTGTCTAAGTACATGTTGTTTTTTCATCAAAATGGCGGCTGCTGCCATGGCAACCAAGTTTTTTTTTTTTTTTTTTTTTTGCACTTGAAGTCTACAAATGTAACAACATACATCCCTACAAATGATCATTATAAAATAATTGGTCTAACATTGTAAGTAAAAAAAAAAAATTTTCTGTAGTGACCCCTTAAGAATATTTTTAATCTCTTTTTTTTTCGCTGTATCTCATCAGGTGCGTTACTACAGAGTTACATCAACATAAAATGAAGCAAAACACTGAATAAATCCAACTGAAATGCGAATAGTTTTTTCTTTATGATAATGCAACTCTGTAGTAACGCACCTGACAAGATACAGCGAAATATGCTTGGTAATGAATTGTGCAATGTATTGTTTGTGTCTGCATTTTTAAATTCATTACGGGAAAACATTGTTTTGAATCTCTTTATTGTCCCTTATTTATATACTGCAATATCTCTGATTTATTTCATACTGTGTATGTGTGTGTGAGTGACTGTAAATAGATATGTGTGTGTCGTGTGTGAATTCTAATAGTTTAGTGATACAGCGTGCTTCTTATTATTCTAGAAGTAAGCAATCAAGGGATCTGACTACACACCAAGAGACCAAGGCTGCGAAGGGCTAAACGACAGAGTTCCAGCCAAAAGGTATTGCCCTTAAATCAGCATCAAGACGATTTTGTTTTATAAAGGAACTCCCAGGAGACTCAACCTAACAAAATTATCAGGAAATTTATTTTGAAGTAAACGCGGCAGGTGAGATGTTAATCAAATCACTCATGAAGTATCCATATATATGTATGAATCTACCAACATATCCCGATGCGCCCATGGCTGGCAACGGTTATTCACTTTGCTTCCCTAAATGCACAATAGCTTTAACTTGGCTGGTACCATAGTCTGTCATTACTTCAACTGTTTTGTTTTTTCCTCGATTAAAGAAATCAATGTTCTTCTAAGTTCTGGTATAGAAGGGGTTACATACAATAGGAATATAAATGGGTAATTTGAGCACTCAAGCGATAAAAGAACACGAAAGGTGTAATTTCTTTGTACTATACATTAAATCTATGCTGTGTTGCATGGTAGAGAAAGAGTAAAAGCGTGTAAAGGTGCTTTATTTTTTAGACTCAATTGTGAATGAGGAAAGTGGGAGATAAATTATATTATTAACTTTAGTAAACTAACAACAAGTGAGACAGTTTGTATCTTACCTTTCCCTGTTCAACAAGATTAGTTAGCATCACAACTATGTCTGATTTCTGTTCCCACAAAAGTCGTACAAAGTCTCCTAGAATGACTTTGCTTGGACCTGTCAGGTGTTGGAGAAGAAAGTGCAATATGTGTTGATGTTTGCGTCTAATTATACTACATGCACATATTAACATAGTGATTTGATATTTTAGATAATGGAAGACCTGTCTAAAGAATGTTTCGACTACAGTGGAGATTTGTCACTGTTTCTTGGCACCTCTCAACTAAATTTTTTATGTTCGGACACAATAAATAAGAAAGTCTCCTAGAGCAAATCACTGCATTTAAAGGTAAACAAAGGTGCCCAAGAAAAGGTTGAAAAGCGCGCAAAAAGAGTGTTTATCAGAGGAGGAGGAGGAGGAGGAGGAGGAAAGCAACAAACGGAGACATTGCCAATAGTTAACGAAGAAAATGCTGCATGACTGGAATGTTTAGTCATTGTGTAAAAAGGTTGCCCTAACAAAGCTGAAATGAAGAAACGTGCATTAGCGGGAGATTTAAAGATAATTCTACAGTTTAAAAAAAAAGTCCGGCTACTGAAGAGAAAAGGGAGCGGGGGGGGGGGGGGGGGCTTAAAGTGACACTTTGGCAGACAAACGGCAACAATAAAATGGTGTACATCGTGTCAGCCAGCGTCTGTGGCTCAGGTTCGACCCTAGCTGCTGACGATTTGGCTGCTGGCCGCCTTCCGTTGGTTTAGACAGGGGTATCGAGACTCAAATTCCTTGGAGAGCTAAGACGAGCAACCCAGATTTTTTAAAGGCGGCAAGTGCTGAAAGACAACTTATTACAAACATCAGAAAGAGACAGTCATCAGTTTTTCGTCATGTTATGAGAAGAGGGGAAATGAGACATGTTGTAACCAGTGAATAGATTTGTAGAAAGAGAAACAGAGGAAGACACAGCGAGAAGATTATTGACAGTTTGTGTCATTGCATGGAGGGGTGTCAACACACCGAATGACTGATACACGCAGTTTCAAATCGCAGGTTGTTGAAAGGCATGATCGCCACACGTGACTCAGCAAGGAACTTGATGAAGATGATCGGAAGCAGACTTTGCGCAGTTTAAAATTATGGCATAGAAGATCATCAGTGCCTTAGGTGATTGCAAGTACAGGAGGTTTTTGGGTAGACGTGACTAACTATGCTACAAAGCTTTGACTATAGGAAGAAGTATTTGAAAACTGGCGTCTCTAGGACATCCGCTAACTGATTATATATTTAGAACATGCAGAGGTGTAGCAGCTGGGCAAGCTTGCTACAACCTTTCCTCGATAAATAAATCGTTTCTTCAATTAATAAAATACGCTTCTCGGCCTTTTGGCTAAGATCAAAGTGTAGCTCTGCTGCGCTTGGTCTGGCCGGAAGTGCGGGGATCGGTCCCGAACTCATGGGAGTAATTATTACAGCATGAGCCATTCAAACTCAGAGCCGGGTGGTTTTCCCCTGAGGAGAGACTGGCCCGGCGAAAAAAAAAAATGTGTGTGACCATTTGGTTACGATTAAATCTGCTTTTTTGTAGCGGAAATTAGCCTGGCACGCTAGCTCAGTTGGTTAAAGCTGACTTCGTGGCGGCTGGGTGACGAACTCCTTGTGGTCAGGGTTGACGCCCGGGGGTAGGTAAAAAAAGCCCCACAGATTTACGGTACTTTTACTGGAATCAAAGCCGAAGGGTTGCTATATTTATAGTACCGAGTCAAAGGGTTTACAACTTGTGGTTTCTTGATGCTTTTAAAAACAAAAATAGCGGAAACTACCATTATTCTTGTGTACAATGCATTATGAAAAGATGTTAGATAGTTCTGCTATTTTGATTTATTTGTTTCAACAAACCCCTCTCCTGTTACTTATGCTTGTGTTCGACTGACTGATAAAATGCGCCTGATATTAAAATTGAAGAGAAGGACGACAACTCCAAACACTAAAATATTTACAGTTTAGCAGGTTATTTCCTTTAGAAATAAATGCAGAGAGATAGACATGAAAAAGAAATGAACTGAAACAAAGCTTTGGTGCCACATTAATGGTCTGAACAGTTCCCAGCAGTGTGTCCTCTTATTTTTTAAATTGCTTTCCCAGAGACTGCTTTTTGAATGACTGACGCCCAGCACACAAATGGCCACTTATCACTCAGTAGGACCTTTACAGAGCACAGTCCTTTCATGGCCTTCGTGAAAAGAGTCGATTACGATACGCGGTCCAAAATTTTTCGTTATTTCCAAAACCCATTTCAACTGAATGAGTGAGTGATATTCAACCCCACCAGGACATGCACTAAGCGATAAACACCCGATGACACAAAGTGCCACCATGTGAATGAGGTCACCCGGGGAGATGTCCTGAAAATCCCGTTCAACCCACAGGTTAAGGCACATTAGGGTCTCCGGCAACTGCCAGGGTGGGGCTTTAAAACAAAAATTGCATCCGACATTGGGTTCAAGGGTACTGCGGTTGTTGTCGGGGACCCTAATATAACCTAACAGTTGAACTGGTTGTCAAGAACCCTAATATAACCTAACAGTTGAACTGGTCGTCATGAACCCTAATATAACCTAACAGTTGAACTGGTCGTCATGAACCCTAATATAATCTAACAGTAGAACTGGGGGTCAAGAACCCTAATATAACCTAACAGTTAAACTGGTGGTCAAGAACCCTAATATAACCTAACAGTTGAACTGGTCGTCAAGAACCCTAATATAACCTAACAGTAGAACTGGTCGTCACGAACCCTAATATAACCTAACAGTTGAACTGGTCGTCACGAACCCTAATATAACCTAACAGTAGAACTGGTCGTCAAGAACCCTAATATAACCTAACAGTTGAACTGGTCGTCAAGAACCCTAATATAACCTAACAGTTGAACTGGTCGTCAAGAACCCTAATATAACCTAACAGTAGAACTGGTTAAGAACCCTAATATAACCTAACAGTTGAACTGATCGTCATCAACCCTAATATAACCTAACAGTTGAACTGGTCGTCAAGAACACTAATATAACCTAACAGTAGAACTGGTCGTCAAGAACCCTAATATAACTTAACAGCTAAACTGGTCGTCAAGAACCCTAATATAACCTAACAGTAGAACTGGTTAAGAACCCTAATATAACCTAACAGTTGAACTGATCGTCATCAACCCTAATATAACCTAACAGTTGAACTGGTCGTCAAGAACACTAATATAACCTAACAGTAGAACTGGTCGTCATGAACCCTTATATAACCTAACAGTAGAACTGGTCGTCAAGAACCCTAATATAACCTAACAGTTGAACTGGTCGTCATGAATCCTAATATAACCTAACAGCTAAACTGGTCGTCAAGAACCCTAATATAACCTAACAGCTAAACTGGTCGTCAAGAACCCTAATATAACCTAACAGCTAAACTGGTCGTCAAGAACCCTAATATAACCTAACAGCTAAACTGGTCGTCAAGAACCCTAATATAACCTAACAGCTGAACTGGTCGCCAAGAACCCTAATATAACCTAACAGCTGAACTGGTCGTCAAGAACCCTAATATAACCTAACAGTTGAAATGGTCGTCAAGAACCCTAATATAACCTAACAGCTGAACTGGTCGTCAAGAACCCTAATATAACCTAACAGCTAAACTGGTCGTCAAGAACCCTAATATAACCTAACAGCTGAACTGGTCGTCAAGAACCCTAATATAACCTAACAGCTAAACTGGTCGTCAAGAACCCTAATATAACCTAACAGCTAAACTGGTCGTCAAGAACCCTAATATAACCTAACAGCTAAACTGGTCGTCAAGAACCCTGATATAACCTAACAGCTAAACTGGTCGTCAAGAACCCTAATATAACCTAACAGTCGAACTGGTCGTCATGAACCCTAATATAACCTAACAGCTGAACCGGTCGTCAAGAACCCTAATATAACCTAACAGTAGAACTGGTCGTCATGAACCCTAATATAACCTAACAGTTGAACTGGTCGTCACGAAACCTAATATAACCTAACAGCGGAGCGGAGGGTCCTGGGACATGTGCACCGGGGATTCCCATTTGAATGGTGGGTACCGGGTGCAGTCCCGGGAAAGTGAGGGCGGCCGGCGTGATACTGACTACATCACCCATCTTGTGCCGATGGTCTATAAAAATATAGGTCTAGCCCTATATGCCCTATACGCCTTAAGGCGTGGAAAAGGGTCCTTTACTCTACTTACACAACTTTTTTCTGGTTTTAACATTAAAGCCTCTTATTTAACCAAATGCCAAACAACATTTTCTGTTCTAAACATTTGAAAGCTCTTATTTTATCAGATGCCAAAGAACATTTTCTAGGCTAAACAGTAAAACCCCTTATTTAACAAGATGCCAAACAACATTTTCTGTGCTAAACATTGAAACCTATTATTTAACCAGATTCCAAACAACATTTTCTGGACTAAACATTGAAACCTGTTATTTAACCAGATTCCCAACAACATTTTCTGGACTAAACATAGAAACCTCTTATTTAACCAGATGCCAAAGAACATTTTCTGGACTAAACATAGAAACCTCTTATTGAACAAGATGTCAAACAAACTTTTTTTTGGCTAAGCATTGAAACCTCTTTTTAACCAGATGCCAAACAACATTTTCTGGACTAAACTTTGAAACCTCTTATTTAACCAGATGCCAAACAACTTTTTACTTTATTCAAAGTGGTAGTGCCTGTTGAATGTATACTAGACAGAATGATCAGGATATTTTTCACCTATTCAAAATTAATAGCAAGAGCAATTTAGTTTGGAAGTACTGTTAAATCGACCCCAGTATATAGATACAAATTCACTTCACAGAATGCGCCACAACAGATAATTGATAATTTTTCCAGTGGAGCCCGTTGATCATCATCATCATCATTGTCATACTGTGCCTTTATATTTCACATAGGGCTAGCAGTCTATGTCTCCATTCCGTTCTATCCTGTGCCGTCACTTGGATATAATGGATGGAATCCAGTCCAGCAACTCTGATTTCTCTCACTAACGTCTCCTTTGGTATTTTTCTTGTTTTCCGTTTCCTAAATCCCTCAGTTTCCTATTTCAGTGCCTGTTTGATTATTATCTGTTCGTCTCTCCTCAGAAGGTGTCCAATACAGGGACACCTTCTCTGCCTTTTAACGTGTAATACAGAACGGGCTCTTATTTCTTCACTTCTCTTAAATTCATCAGAATTTATGTTCGCTTTATTTCCTCACTTATTTCGAATGTATTAAACTTTCGTTTCAGGTCTTTAATGAATTTCCAGCTTTCACTAGCATATGTTAAAACTTAAATAACATTAGCATTTGTTCTAAGACTATATAATATAATCTAAAATCTGAAAAATTATAATGACAATAATTAAACGATTTTGTGGCACAATTAGTGAATGTAAATACATTATTTGCTGTTCTGTGAAAAATGTAATTAAAGTATATAATTTTTAAAGACTTAATTATTTTAAGTCAATAATCTTTGGAAACATATTGCCCCCCCCCCCCACCCCCCCCCCCCTCCCAATAGATTATGTTGCTATCACTTTGCAGCAGTGTGTAGAAGTAACGGAACTTGAAGGTAACAAACCCGTGCTCACAAACAAAGGTAAACTGATTTCTCCTCTATAAAACTCAAGTAACGACATAAACCTAATAAACACGCAAATACCGATGCAGATATCTACACGGGGCAATGATTGACATACCTCACAATGATTGACTTACTTAGCAAAGATTGACTTACTTAACAAAGATTGACATACCTAACAATGACTGACTTACTTAACAATGATTGACCTACTTAGCAAAGATTGACTTACTTAACAAAGATTGACATACCTAACAATGATTGACTTACTCAACAAAGATTGACAAACCTAACGATGATTGACTTACTTAACAAAGATTGACATAACTAACAATGATCGACTTACTTATCAAAGATTGACAAACCTAACAATGATTGACTTACTTATCAAAGATTGAAATACCTAACAATGATTGACTTACTTAACAAAGATTGACATACCTAACAATGATGACTGAGTTACTTAAAAAATATTGACATAACTAACAATGATTAACTTTCTTAACAAAGATTGACATACCTAACAATGATTGACTTACTTAGCAATGATTGACTTACTTAACAAAGATTGAAATACCTAACAATGATTGACTTACTTAACAAAGATTGACATACCTAACAATGATTGACTTACTTAACAATGATTGACACACCTAACAATGATTGACTTACTTATCAAAGATTGACATACCTAACAATGATTGACTTACTTAACAATGATTGACATACCTAACAATGATTGACTTACTTAACAAAGATTGACATTCCTAACAATGATTGACTTACTTAACAATATTGACAAGCCTAACAATGATTGACTTACTTAACAAAGATTGACATACCTAACAATGTTTGACATACGTAACAATGATTGGCATACTTAACAATGATTGACATTCCTAACAAGTTTGTCAAATATATAAACTAACTAAACCATGGTTGATATAACTAACAATTAATGACATACTTAACAATGACTGACATAATTAACAATGGTTGACATACCTAACTATGATCGACATACCTAATAATGAATGACATACCTTACAATGGCTGACATACCTAACAATGACTGACATACCTAACAATGACTGACATACTTAACAATGATTGACATACCTTGTGACGCTATAAACGTCTCTTTTTTGTGGTAACCCTGTAAAAGAGTTGCAACAATAATGTATGTCAGCGGTGCCACATACATTTACAAACATGTCTGCAGATATCTTTAACAAACAAACAAACAAACAAACTATATATATATATATATATATATATATATATATATATATATATATATATATATATATATATAGAGAGAGAGAGAGAGAGAGAGAGCGAGAGAGAGAGAGAGAGAGAAAGGGACAGGTATTAAAAGAACAAATCGGCGTGAGATTGTTGGAGATGTATGATTCATTTGAAGTTAACATGCAGCATAGAGGGGAAAAATTATGGCTAGTGACTTCATGAACAGTGGCGTTCAAGGAAAGAATAGAGTGGAGATTTAAATCTACAGTTTCATAAATGGCATGAACTCCGCAAAGCTTTGTATGTCTAATACGCCCATTCCGTCATTTAACTTCACTTTCCAATTGTTTTTTCTGTAGCTCTATAGTTAATGTGCCCGGAACCTGGGGGTCTAAGCGCCCCCTCCAACTGTCCCACTCCATAATTTCTTTAAGGAAGCTAAGAAATCCTTGTTTACTATCTACAGACATTCTCTCTGAAAGTTTTTGCTTATACATTTTCATATTTTTTGAAATATATTATTATCTCTGGTTACCCTTCAACACGCTATTATTGATATTAAGCCCTTAAATTAGAAGTAGGTCACATGAGGTTAACCGCCCCCCCCCCTCTTTTTTAAACAAAGTGTATGAGGAGAGGAGGAGCCCCCTCCCCCCACCCTCCCCCCTCCCCCCTCACCACCCCCAGTTCCAATTGTCCTCCCTGGTGTTTTCTCCTGCTGGCTTGTCTGATAACTCGGCTGTTGCAGATACAAAAGCCTCAGACGATTGTACTTAATTCTGACCATATATTCATGGTAATTTATTAACTGTCGGTAACTGAGTAGAAGAAGGTAAACATTACGGATTTCCCCCTATCTGGGTTATCTCCACCAATTTAATCACTAGGCTACTTGTCATTACAACTTTGTTATGCTCGTCGATTTTGCTGAAGGTTATGGGGGTGTCCCAATGTACCGTTTGCTCGAAAAGCTTTCTGCGTTGTCTCCCATTTACGTTTTGAATCTGAGAAAGATAATGCGTGTGACTGAGGTTGCAGTATTCTCGTTGAGGAGTTTGTGTTAGGACCTGTCCTGCATGTTTTGGGAGTGTCAAAGGCGATGACGTGCTGCAATATACAACACGCGATATCACCGATGGAGATGGTCTTGGTCACAGCAAATCGAACAGAAAATCCGTGCAATAAACGACGGCATGGGATTACTGGGGCTGGAAAGGTAAATGAGGCAAAGCCCATAGTCGGCTTGTGGTCAGCTGGGAATCAGGGCTTGAAGAAGACGCCTGTGATGGTGTGATGTAGCTTAACTGCAGTGTATTGAAGGTTGTGTAAATGATTGTAGGATTACTGTGGAAACGAATTGCGATGGCTGTGGTTAAAAGACATGTGACTGAATTGAGTGGAGGAATTAGAACAAATAAACTGACAGAATATATATCTGAAACTGAGCACTGTTTGACGTTGTTTATTGTAAAAGTTGTGTCTGTTCTCTAGCTAGCCAGAATCACTCCAAGCGGAGTTACTAAAAGAGAATTATTACAGGCATAAATTAGCTTCATCGCAAGAAGTAATTTCATTGCACACACTCGAACCCAAGACATTCCGACCATCTGGCAAGTGTCTAGATCAGTGGTGGCCATGCTAGGCAAACTATGGACCACAGTAGTAAAACTACTCTATAATCTCACCCCTGGGCTTATAAAATAGCAGAACACAACAACAAGAAAAATATATTCATATGCAGAACGAAAAACAAATCCAGATATCAACATTTAAGATATAATTATAACCTAAACAGTGATATCCATTATCACCCCCCCCCCCCCCCCAGTAGTATGATTTCTGCATTTCAGGATATATAGAAGCGCTTCAGTTGGCGGGTATGTCTGGCTAGAGGCGTAGAGTGTGATTATAATCTAAGATTATCACACACAAGAAATAATCGTGTTGCGAAGAATCTGGCTGTTTTGTCAATAATTGATTTTTAAAAAAATGTGTATGGTCAGCGACCGTGCTGATAATTATCAATTTGGCCCTGGACAAAAGAAGTAGCCCCCCTCCCCCTCCCCCCCCCCCTCCCTTTTTGGGTTATTGATACTTGGCTGTAGCGTGTCAGTAAGTTTATACTCTCGAGAGGGCATGTACCTGTATAAAGGAAGCGTTGATGTAGTCGCCTTGTCCTTTGCTGCTATCGGCAACTAGTTGTACTCGAGAATGATCATCTGTAAATAATATTAACGGTAGTGCAATGATAATGTAATCTTAATTAACTTATAAATTAGTTATAAATACAATGATGAATGGAGTCAATGAATGGTTCAAAGTCACAACTGGTGTCAGACAAGGATGTGTACTGTCACCATTACTTTTCATAAATACATGGATAAGATCACTGTAGAAGCAAACCCAGACGTGTATGCTATAAACGAATTACTTTTGCTGATGATCAAAGCATACTGTATCAAAATGAATATGATCTACAGGAATATCTGACTACTCTCAACAACAGCTGTTTACAACATAATATGAGAATCAGTACAGAAAAAACGGAAGTTATGAAGATCAGCAGAACACACAGGCCACTGAATATAAATGTTGGAAGTGCCAAAATCAAGCAAACCAAAGAGTTCAAATACTTGGGCAGTATATTTACAGAGGATGGAAGAATGGACAGAGAGATAGAAACAAGAATACAGAAAGCAAATGCTGTCACATACCAACTATCACCTCTGCTTAAACATCCAGATATAACCATGAAGACCAAAAGACAATTGATAAACACCATCTTCATTCCAACACTCTGCTACCAGTGCCAGACATGGACAATCAACAAGACCCATGAAAGAAAAATAGAAGCCTGTGAAATGAAATGTCTAAGAAATGCAGCGAATAAGACCAGACTAGACATGATAAAGAACATAGACATTAGAAACACTGTCAAAACTACACCATGTTTAGACTACATAGAACATCAAAGAATTAAATGGTTTGGACATCTAACCAGGATGAAAAATGACCAAATAACATCACAAATTTTCAACCAAAGAAGCTCAGGATATAAGGCAAGAGGAAGACCAAGGAAAATGTGGATTGACGGGGTCTCCGAAACCTGCCAAAAGCATGGCCTCAGAACATCAGATGCTGCCCGCCTTGCCTATGACAGGAACTTGCATCTCCCCACAACGCTTAGCGGCATACGTGGAAGGAAAAAGTAAAGTAAGATGAATGGAGTGATAAATACTAAAGATACATGTAATTATATGTATATTTAGAATTCGAACAATAATCCAATAATTAATTAAAAACACGAAATGATAAATACAGTTGATAGTTGCAATGAAAAATACTTTTTGAAACGCAATAATAGATACAATGACAAATACTCATTCAAAGGAAATATGTAGTGTAAAAGTAAAGTATGTAAGTAAGTAAAGTATATATGTAAAGTAAAAAAGTAAAGTACGTAAAAAAGTAAGATGTATGGGGAAAAAATGTAAAAGCGGCGTCCGTGGCTTTGGCGTTGCGAGTCTGTCTCTTAATTCCAACGTACAGCGATCAAAACCCACTGCTGGCTGCGTGGATTTTTTATCATAGCAAGGGGCGTTGCGGGTCAACCCAGCATAAAATGGGCACCACGATCTATTTTCATGGGGAAGTAGAGACGACCGGCGTTATGCTGACCACATTACCCACCAAGGGCTGTTTGGTCTGTAAAAATATAGGCGCTCTTCCCATATGCCCGATGCACATAAAGGCGTAACATATGGTATGTAAAGATCTATTTTTACGCCTTAAGGCGCATCGGGCATAAGGGAAGAGCGCCCATATTTTTACAGACCAAACAGCACTTGGTGGGTAATGTGGTCAGCATTACGCCGTCCGTCTTTACTTTCCCATGGAAATAGATCCCGATACTCATTTTATGCATACAAAGGAAAAAAGCTAAAATTATTATAAATAAGGTTGGACGACACAGAGAAAATGTTGGTCTGGGGAGGGGTGTGGGGTTGTGGGGGGGGGAGGAGGGAGGGGGGGAAGAGACGGACTATTAATTATATTGCAGTATCACCGTGAGTACGGGAACTCTTCTTCGGCTACTAGTGAAGGGGACTGACTGACTGACATTTTACCCCACTAGGACATCACACAAGCGATAAACATCCGATGACACAATGTGCCACCATATGGATGAGAATCACCGTGGAGGGGTCCCAGAAACCGAGTTCAGCCATTAGGCCATATTTATGGCAGGGCTATATTGCGACCCCTGGCATGAGCCAGAGTAGAGCTTCAAATAACGAAAATGTGCATCCTTAAAAGGACGGCAAGATTGATTATGCTTAATAATGTAATAAGTGAAGGGGAGAGAATGCAGAGATGTGGATTCATTCATTCAGTGTAATACAATTTGATTGTCATACTGTTCCATAAGAGCAGAGCTGAAACAGGCTGCTCTGGTACAGAGCACACACAAAATCTTCACATTATGCCTATGGATATTTAGCATCACTTCCGCATTTAAATCCTTTTGGTAACAACAAGCTGTAGTGTTGAAGACCAACGAGACACCTTGAATAGATTTTTATTGAGCGGTTCGATACCTCAGCACGTAGCTAACGGCTCTTACAGTGAGTTTGGCCAGTTGCTAATATCAGGGTCTTGGGTAGTGAGTTCTGCATTGGTTTCACACCAAGAGCAATTAGTTTCAAGTAGACCACAAACCATCCAATACCATGCACAGCTATGTTAATATTTTATTTTTCAGGAAGGTGAATCAGCTTTAAACATAAACCCGTAGAAGCATCACTTTTTTTTTCTTTTTTTTTGTGTGCCTTGGTAAGCCAAGCATATAAAAAGGACCCTTTTCCACGCCTTTAGGCGTATAGGGCATAAAGAGCTAGACCTATATTTTTATAGACCAATCAGCACAAGATGGGTGATGTGGTAGCATCCCACCAGCTGCCTTTGCTTCTCGGGACTGCACCCGGTACCAACTCGAGGCTGGGTCGACCTGGGAGCCATAGTCATTTTTGAAAAAAGTCCGGCTCCTCCACCTATACCTTCCGATCCTCGGCAAGCGTCTAGCCGCTTCGGTGTAATAAGAATATGCAAAATCATAAATAAAGATACCACAAGACAAGCTGGCACGGAACCAGGGCTAAACTACACCAAGATACAACAGGTCAGATGGTACAGACTCTGTAAAGACAACCACAGCAACATAGTGGACCACAGAGAGCACTGTCACTAAAACACAGTGGACGCAGACCTAGAGGTCGACCACGGAAGAGATGAACGGATGGAATATCCGAGGCTATGAACGCAACATCTACTTAGCAAACACCAAGGCTGGCACTAGATGCCTCTTCAAAACCTGATGATGAAATGTAAAACATGACAGGAGAAAAAAGAAACAAGGAGAGAAAGAAAATTTGCAAAGCCAGAAATTTTCATTTTTGCGACTACAAATACTATTTTGGCATCTAAATACATGGGAACATTAAATATATTAGATTGTTGAAGTTACGATCCCACCACCCCATCTTTCAACCTCCCCCCACTCCTCCCCCACCCCCATATGTTTAATATTTTTTGTGATTTTAAGATATATGCACATGAAGCAGGGTTTTCTATCACAAATCCTGTCTCCAGAACACTCTTTGTATATTTGTTTTCAATGTGATCTGATGTATACTTCGTGTGGTTCCATCGTGTTTCACATTTTCACAGCCTTGATGATGTTCAGCTCATTTCGATGTAGAACAGTGGTTTCCAACCTGACCCCCCCCCCCCACCCCCACCCCGCTCCCCCCACCCCCGGGCCACCCCTCCCCAGGGAACTTTAGGAAGTTCCAAGGTGGGCGTCAAGCAATTTTTAGAAAGGGTCTCTTTTGTACATGTAATAATCGGTTACATTAAGTGTGTGTGTGTGTTTTTTTTAGAAGAGAGAGAGGGGGTGCGGGGGGCTGGGGGGCGGGGTAAAATTATAAATAAAAGAAAGCTTTTGTATTCAGTGGCAGTTTGAATATCTACCGTAAAAAAATCGAATTATTATAATGACATCTGCATTTAGTTACAGTTTAGGACCAAAGTCCTCTACTTTTTTTAACCCATTTTATTATGTTTGTAGGGGGAGGGGGCAATTGCCATATGCTCATGGGGGGACGGGAGGGGAGCACCCAAAGAAAGATTGAAAACCATTGACGTAATATATGAGCAGACAGAAACACATCCATAATTAATGCAAAACACGTGAAAAATAATGAAACATTAAAACGGTCGTGGCGAACTCGTTCAATAAGACTAGATTTTGAGTGCTTATTGGATTAATTTAACATGAGCTTTAGGTGCTTCTTTTAGTAACTGTTCGTCGTATTAAAGTTTAACGTCATTAACATAACAAAATAAATATTTAATTACTATTATTGTCATGAAGTATTATTGTAGGATTATGATTAATATTTTGTATTATAGAAGAACTGTTTCAATCCGTCGGCGAGCCGGCGATATGATTATGTTATGTTATGTGGTCACATTCCACGACACTGCACACTGGGCATTCCCATGCGGGCTCAGTCCTTTAATGCAGCAGCCACTCCATGGTACTTCTACTAATTGTTCCCATGAGTGGTTGCTTATGATGTCTTATATCTCGATTTTTTAGTCGGCATACACATGCATCTCCATGCTTTATATGATTATAGCCATGTATGTTTATGGGCCGTTTTGCACGCAGTGGGGGGGGGGGGGTATGGTCAACGTGGCACCGACCGTCCTAACTGGCTATGAGATTTCCTCGCACTCATTTTAGGCTTGGCCGACCTAGAGCTTTAAATTGTATACCCTTTTCCACCCCTACAGTCATACAGCGCATATAATATGTGACATGTATTTTATAGAGAAATCAGCACTTGGTGGGTGATGTGGTACCATCACACCTGTCACATTTACTTCACATGGTACCAATTTATCTCAGACTGGGTTCCCTTGGCAATCAAAACCTTTTGTAAAAATATGGCTTGCTCCATCAGGACCTTAACCTACGACCTGCCGATCTGCAGGCTATGCCTAGCAACTACATCACGTCTGCTTACAATGTAATAAGCTACAGAACTAACAAGTTTCCACAGCCAGTATCACTGACACTAACTTACATGCACTGATGTTCTTGTATCGATTCTTGTTTTTATTCTCCGCACTTAGTCCAACAGCCAGTGATGCGTTGCAGGAAATGGGAACTGACTGTAGCAACAAAAGTATTTGTTAACTTTAATATTTGTTGTGTTAGCTTTAAATTAGCGAAAATAACTAGTCACACATCTTTTATATATACACACACACACACACATAAATAGTCCCCCTGTGGCCTCCAGAGTCCCATTGTGAGAAAACAAGAACAGACCTACTGCCTCCCCAAAAGGGTGTCGTAGGAGTCGACTAATTGGGGACTTCCTTTGAAGTAGGAGGGCATCTACCTCAGAGGCATGGAGCCAATAGTCTGCATACAAATAAGCCAGATCTGTAAGACGGATGTACATGCAACACTCAGGTTCTGTAACAAGATTAGAGTCCGGAGGTTTACAAATAATCAAAACTTTCCGCTGTAGTATACAACCGATGAATGCGAAGAAGAATAAACATATATGTATGTATATATATATATATATATATATATATATATATATATATATATATATATATATATATATATATATATATATAAACATATCTCCAGTCGTACTGACTCGTCTTGCCACTGAACCCAGATATAACTCTGGCGAGAGAGTGAGGTCGACGACACTGCGCAACTTTTCCTCACTTCAGTTCAAGTCACCGCCCAAGTCACTCTTTCATCACCATCTCATATATATATATATATATATATATATATATATATATATATATATATATATATATATATATATATATATATATATAGTGTGTGTGGTCGCTTGTGTGTGTTTCTTTGTTACTGTATGTGTGTTTGTTTTTGCTAATTAATACATGTATAAAGATACAAAGATAGAAGAATTGTATTCCATGAAAACCAACGGAAGAATAACAAACAACCTTAGATATGCTTATGCTGTGAGCAAGTGAGCAAGACTTACCTTATCTCTAAATTCCAAAATTTTCACAATGGATACTAGATTCATGAGGCAATCAGTTTCAAATGGGTACCAGGAAATATTTTAGGAGTAGAAATGGAGGGAAGGGTACGAGAACCGAGGTTCCAGTGTATTAGAATTTGTTATAATTTCTATTAGATTTTTTAAGCACGACATTCATTTGTCAGTTTTACAATAACGTTTCTAGGTCTCCATACGTTGATCCATTATCAATTTTCAAACACACAAAAAACGTGTTTTGGCATACACAATATATTATCAGCTTATGTTTTCTGTAGCTCCAGCAGCTATCTTTCGATATCCAAAACACTCGCGAACAGACAGTTTACAAAAACAAATTAGTTGCTTATCCTTTTTGCATGATGTTGCAGAAACAACCCACGTATTTTTGGCTGTTTCTGATACCGTGTTGCAATAAATTGTGAAATCTATTGTTTGTTTCTGTTTTATTCAAATTTACTAAGGAAAAAAATAGCTTTAATTTGTTCGTTTACTTGTTTTCCATTGCTTTCTAAACAGTCGACTCTCGATGCTGCTGTTGAAACCATGGCAAAGCGCTCTGCTGAGTTCAACTGCTGGGTTTTCTGTCGAGCCGACAGTCGAAGTATAAAACCGTACCCATTTTCATCTTCAGAGTTCGAGACATTCAGCTTAGCCATGTTACTACAGAGACTTGTGAGCAGTAAGATACTGAAAACACTACCTGAAGAGAATTGAGTAGCGGGGAGTGTCTAAAGGATTTCGGCGCCCCTGGAGACTTGGGGGAGGACAAGACGAGTAGTTAACCAGATGACAACAAGTACCGTCAGCATAGAGACTATTTGATGGCTGTTGAGGAGGGAGACGAAGCTAATATGGGCTTGTCCTGAATGCTGTGATGTCGAATTTGTACCCAAATGAACCCAGCTGAGTGGTGTATATCGGTGTCTGTTTGTATGTGTATGTGTGTCTGTTTGTGTGTACTTGTGTGAGTGGTGTGTGTGTGTTACACAACTAACCTTGAACTGTTCAATAAAGTACTCCTTTGAATGAGATAGCATGAATGTACTAAGGTCCTCCACGGCAATAGCAGTCTTATGTGGTTCCGATACCGTGTTGTAGTAGATCTCCTCACTGTTCTTGTCGTTTGCGGACAGGGCACTCATGTTAGAGTATGATGGTGGTTTCTCAACTGTTAAGGAGTTTGTTGTGTGAAAAATGATTTTAAAAATAACAAATACTAACAAATGTTGCTGTTTTTTTTTTTTTTTTTTGTAAATTCAGTAAAGGACCCCTCTTCACGCCTACATCCGTATTGAGCATATAGGGCTGGACCTATATATTTTTAGTGGGTGATGTCTTCAGCATTACGCCCGTGGCCTTTACTTCCCAAGATTTCACCTGGTGTCCATTTAAGGCAACATCGACATGGGAGCAAAATTTACATTTGGAAAAGGAGAAAGTCCGTCTGCTTCGGTATTATTTATTGTGCAAAATTGACAGTCTGAGTTTTCATAGCACTGGGAATTCCATAAAAGTCAAAAGGTATTAAAACTCCCAACACACTTTAGATAATTAAGACCTAGTGTTGGATCAGTACTCCTACGGTTCAGACCAGAGGAAGTAAAGCGTATGACATAATAATGGCTAATGTGATAGATTAGGGGGGAAGTGTGATTCCAGTGAATCGACGGTGAGGAAATGACGCTGGCAGTGAACAGGATACAAGCTAGGAAAATTTAATAATAATATAACTAGAAACTCCTTGCATTGGAATCAATACGGCATATGAAATAAAGGATATGTAAGAGTCAAAATAGATCAATTAGTAAGACAGCAAGAGCTTTTTTTAGCAGTAGTGAAACGTCACAATTTAGTCTCATTATGGCACATGGCGAGACAGGATTCGATTGCGAAGACAGTACTTCATGAAACATTAGATGTAGTCGAAAAAGAGGAGGGCAAAGAAATCCTAGAATGACAACATCAAGAAGTGGACAGGACTAAGTTATCAGACACTTATTCATCGAGGGGAAGACAAGAAAAAAAGTGGCGGTTTTATGTGCTAGTGCTTTCATCAATACACCTTCACGACACTAATGGGTCAAGGGTTATGTTATGTTATCAAATATCAAAATCGGGGGCGAGTGGCAAAGAAGAACCGAGAATGACAACAGCAAGAAATGGACAGCACCTAATTATTATACACTTGTTCAAGTTGTTCGACTGCGGATAACTTTCTGTGTCTTTAATGGTTCTCCAGCTTGAACTAAAAGTTAGTTGCGTATCCTTAACAGAACGTTGCAGAACCAACCCTAACAGTCCCTGGCTGTTGTGTGGTTTCTCTAGGCAATTTACATCCAGTAGTTTGCCATTGCCCCTGGACGGGCGGCTTTCTTGATACCACTGTTGAAACCAACGTAAGGCGCATTGCCCGCAGCTGGGATCGAACCTGGCATCCCGGCATTACGAAGCGAAGCGTTTGCATCGACTTAGCCACAGAGCCGACAGCTTTAACTAGCATATGAAAAAAACATTAGAATTGAAAATACGTGGGTTGTTACTGAAGCTTTAAAGGTTGTTTCGTGTAACGCTAGGCTAGCGACCACACGTACTCTAATATATACGTACGAACAAGTGTAGGTCCATTTGTAGTACTGTTATTTCTCGCTAATACGGAAAACTCCGATTCTCTTCGGTTACCATTGGTCATACCGTGGCTGTGCTTGTTACCTCTCCGTCTCCTGGCGAAAAGATGCAAGGATGCAAATGTTACTTTCTTTATAATTCTATTCACTTTTGTAACATTCAAAGACATAACATTCTTGTTTAAAAAAAAAATTGCTATGAATGTTTCTTACATAGCCTTAACAGCAGTGTTCTTATACCCATGGGTCGCTGCCCTCTGGCGTTTGCGAAAAAAATCTACAGGTTGAGAACCGCTGCTTTACAGGATGTTGGAAATCAGTGTAAGCATTCTTTGGTTGCTTGTGGTTTTATCAGGTTATTTTACGTCTGAAGTTTGTCCTTTCGGTCTGAACAGTCAGGGTTCCATACCAGTGTCGAAATCAATAGAAAGCCGAATGCTGTCAGAATTCTTCTTCCTTCTTTTCTCTACTCCTGGAATGCCTCGTGGCGTTAGTGCAAGAAAAGATCTCTGTAACGGGCCCCTCTGTTCGCTTTGTATAAAGTACTGTTCAATGTCTCTGATATTTCTGCTGTCTATCTTCTTCTTCTTCTTCTTTCTTCTTTTCTCTACTCCAGGAATGCCGCGGGGCGTCAGAGCAGGGGTAGATTTCTGGAACCGGCCCTTCTGTTCGCTTCGTATAAAGTACTTGTCAGTGTCTATGTTCTGCATGGTCGTCCTCTACCTTTGTATCTGTATAACATTGCTCTCTGTGGTACCCTGTCTAATGTTACTCTTGTTACATGGCGAAACTATTCGATTTGTTGTGTACCTATTATGTTCAGTATTGACTCTTTTTCTGTTACTATCCTTCAGTCGATCTTTCATCGTTACACCTAGCATAGTATGTAGTCATTTCATTTCTGTCGTGACTATTTTTTTTTCTTTTCTGTTTGACTGCATGTTGCTGAAATCAGACCGGCAATTTTGGAATTACAAATCATGTTCGTAACGCCGTAGCCACAGACGCTGACATACAAACCATGGACGAAGGGAGGGTTAGTGAGCAAAGGGTAAACAGTGATGCGTCAAGATAAGGATGAATATGGTTCTTTCCCAATATCCAACCCCAAATAGGAGACATCCACAGGTCACGGGACATTCTAATGTTTCAAGGGTGATAGATGTAGTAATCTAGCATTTCATTCGCCGTACAGTTTTGTATTGTGCCCTTTTCACTTTACTGTGCTTGTTTTGTGTGCGGTGTAGTTTTTTTTTCGGTGCATTTGTGTGTGTGTGTTTTGATGTCATCTGGGGTAGGATATTAGGAAAGAAACACGAATAGTTATCTCGGTCAGTATACTGATTGTATGTACAAAAATGCTTAGAGAGCGTGCTGAAGGTCTTTATTAGCAAACCTTTACTGTAGACATAACATCTGACTGTGTGATTTGACAGTTGTTCTACGAGTGTATTGTTATATTCTTTCTCTGGCATTGATTTTCATGTGGAGTAGCCCTTTACTGCCTCTACTGCGATATAAAGAGGTGTGCAAGCGGGACATGAATGATACAGGTATAGAGGTTTACCCGTAGGAACAAAATACCATGGACCGTGTTGTGTGGATGGGGCACATCAGGAAGGGAATAAGAATGAATAAAGAAATGATTGCAGAAAGGATGAGAGCTGAACATCTGAGAAGAAACGGACCAAACACAAATGTTAAAAAGGGTCCTGAAATCACATGCTACAATTGTGGAAAACTTTTCTTAACAATGGCGGATTTTGCTAGTTACACTCGCCATCGCCATGGGCTGTGAGTCCAACGATTCCTCACAGGGCAATATAACACTGTAGTGTGGAAAGGTAGAAGGGTGCTAAGGTGCCAGTCATAGGCCTTAAAACAACATATGTTTAGCCTTTTTTTTTCCCCGTCTAGTTCAGAGTTAGAATTTGCAGCTTCATTTTACACAACAAATTGTATTTATAAACTCATTATCAATAGAATTGAATCCATACCCCCCAAGAGCACAAAATAAGACTATCGTCTGGCGAGACCGAAAGGTGTCAACAACATAAATATGTGTACTGGTAGTGGCATGTCAAACAAGCAATATGCGGGCCGCATCCGGCCTTTTGCAGGAACACCTGCTGCCACCACAAAGGCAATATTCTGCAATAATTTGTACCAAATGACCTCAGTTCCTTGTCGTGTCTCCGTGGTCAAGTCGTTTGCCTCGCGCCCTGAAAGCCTTGGGTTCGTTTTACGGCTGCGCCGTTCAGTTCCCGAGATTAGTTTTTACGGAGATCCCTGGTCTCGTCGCCGGAGCTAATGAGTTCTTGCATTGTGCGACGTTGTCAGTCGGCTCGCCTTTCTGAGGAGAGAGACCGAGTCATATGGAAGAAAACACGGGGACATGAAATCTATCCTCTCAAATTTAACTTAACTTAATTATTTGTCCTGTGTGGTCCTCATGACGACACAAATATGACCCATATGGCCCTCACGGGACCCTTAGTTTGACGTGTCTGTGCTAATTCACTTTGTTGCAAATCTTCAAACAAGACCATAAGGTTTCAGATGGATATGTGCAAACCATATTCAAATGTAAGCGCATAGTGATTAGTGAGGATTAGCATCATAGCACTACGGACACATCCTCAGGTGCTCCGATCTCCTCCTCAAAACCTCAGCAATTGTCTAACGACTGATGACGCCTGTTTTGTGTTGATTAGTAGAACGTCTTGTCCCCACGGGTGAAATCGCAATTTCTTGCAGCTCTAGGCCTCACTCCATTGTCCAAAATGTAACTATATGTAAACAAAGTCAGTCATATTATAAACTGGACAGACCCCAGAACTGGGTAACAACTGGCAAGAGTGATGGAAAGAGAGCAAGCGGAAGGTAAAGAGATAAATACTCGATGGTTTAGCCATTTGTATGGGGCGAGACACGAAAACTGAACTGATCCGTAATTCTAGTTACCGTGCTAGATGGTGAAACATGACAAAGTACGCCTGTCAGCACAGAACACGATGATGATGATAATGGCGGCGACAATGATGTTGATGCCGACGATGATGATGGTGGTTACGACGATATTGATGATGCCGACGACGACGATAATGATGATGATGATGCCGGTGACGATAAAGATGAAGGCGACGATGATGATGATGATGGCGACGACAATTATAATGATGCCGACGACGACGTTGATGATGTTAATGATGATGATGATGGCGACGACGAAAAGGATGAAGCCGACGACGAAAATGATGATGATGGCGACCACGATGATGATGATGGCGACGATAATGATTATGCTTATGTCGACGACGATGATGATGACGATGATTAGCGTCCACGATGATGATGATAATGGCATCGATTACGATTATGATGGTAGTGACAGCGACGATGATGATGATGATGACGACGACAACTATGATAATGATGATGGCGATGATGACGACGACTATGATGATAATGATGGCGACGACGACTATGTTGATGGATATGGCGACGATGATGATGATGATGGCGACGGCGATGATGATGATGGTTGTGGTGGTGGTAGTTGTGTAAAAAAGCATCATTAAAACTGTGCATACCTCCAAACAAACATGCCAATAATGAGTATCACAACCAGAAGCAGCCCGGCAACTATAGGTCCTGCTATTGCTCCAGTCTGTACGCCACTGTCTGTTAGTTTCACTGATGAATGATATTGTAAAAACATATATTAGGTTAGAAGACACGCCACTGACTGAGCTGTCTGAAACTGAATAGAATCATTGTCTTTAACAAACATGTGGTTCTTTTTCTTCTTTTTCTGCGTCTTCTTCTCAGAGTCCATGTCGTGTGGGGTTTGCAATCATGACTATACAAACTACTTGGCCGCTTCACCGCCAATTATATGCGCAGCGATACTCCTTTCTCTGATTCTGGTGAACTTCTTTTGATAGCGTCACTTTTGACTTGACTTTCCGAGCCTAATGACAAGTTTTGTCCTAGTCTCCTACGGCAATCAGCATTTTATTTGAAAGTCTCCTGTTTGACCCAGGAACTTTATTTGAGCATGTGTAAGTGCATTGTTATATGTGATTATTATATGTGTGTGTGCCCTGCCCTGATGCTGAGTATATGACGGAAGCAATCGTGTGAAGCATCTGCACTTAGTCTTCAAACCCTTCTAAGTACAGGGAGTGCAAACCCACAACGTCACCTACAGTCTTAAGGGAAACATCTTAGTGTACTTTCAATCAACTCCTACATAGACGATCCTTTATACCATTATGTCAAACTGTTCAGCATCCTTTCTCTCAGTCTCCCTCTAGCTCTCCTCCCCTCAAGCTTTCCTACTGTCACGATGTACTCCAGTTGTATCCTTCTCATTACATGACCAAAGACTGTAGATTGTCACTTTCCGATGTGGGCAATCAGTTCTCTTCGTGAGTCAGTTTTTTTCAAGACATTTTCATTTCTATTTTCCTCTGTTCAGGGTATTTCTCATAATTCGTCTTTAAAATCGCATTTCCGCAACTTTTTCACTACTTTTTCACGTTTTTACTAATTTACTAACTGTCCATGATTCCTACCGTATATTAATATCGGATTTTTTTGGCTTTGAAAGTTCTCTCTCGTCTCAGTGGACAAAGAAAGATCGCATAAAATATTCTTTTTTTTTTTTGTAAAAAGCTGCCTTTGCTTGAGCTATTTACAGGCGACTAATTAGGGTTTGCTGAAGTTAGATGTTTTGTGGCGAAAGGTGGAGCTAATGAGCCACTGTAAGCCGCAACACAAAGTGATACAACACAGATTGATACCACGTAGTGATATAACACAGAGTGATACACACAGAGTGATACAACACCGAGGGATACAACACAGAGTGATACAACACCGAGTGATACAACACAAAGTGATAACCAGCCTTTTGAAGTTTTACATAAAAGAAGTATGTCAGTCGTTAGTCTAGGTTCCAGTTTAACTGCAGACGGAATGCCCATACGTGTTCCGTTCCTGTGCCAGTGGAAGTCACTCAAAAACTCCTTTACTGTCTCATTTAAAAACGAGTGAAAAACTTGTCAGTCTCAACAAAAATCTTGATGCTTGCATACGCCAAGCAGAATACATAAGGCAACTGTCAGATGTGCCAACACTAACGGTCACACACCAGAATTGAAGTTCACTCTTGGCGCAAATGGTCAGTCACGAAAGCGGCATTAAATTTCACCATCTACCGAGACGACAATTATTAGGTGAGTTATGCAGAAATGTTGATAAAGATGGTAGAACTGATAGAGATTTTAAAGTACGAATACAAGTGGCAAGAGAAGCTTTCAAAGCACTAGGGAATTTATGGAGATCAAAAACACGTTGAGAAAAAATGAGAATGAATTTAAAAATATGGAGAGGACATAGGGAGAGCTGCATGCGATAGCGAAAGTTAGAACTACTTGGCGTAAGATGGTTGAGGGCTTATGCTCCACTGGGGGCTAGAAAGATAGAACAAGAAGAAGAATGGAGAAATAAAATAAAACACATTAAAGTAAAGGATGCTTTTCACAACAGTTGGGTCATCGGGGATATAATACCATACCCATATCTTTATAGACCCAACTGGCACTCTATGAGCTACGTGGTTACAGCATGGTGGTAGCCTTTACTTTGCAGGACCTTTCCTGCTAAACAGTTTAGTCAGGGTCAACCTTGGAGCTGTAGGTCAGTTACAAAAATCGCCCACTAATAATTTTTTTTTTCTTTTGTTCTTCGTCAGAAATTTTACAAGTAATAATGAGGATTTTGTAGTTTGAAAACACATAAGTTGAGCAAGTTTAACTGCCATAGGAAGAGTGATGAGAACAAAAGCCTGATAAGCAAGATTTGTTGTTTTAATCGTGACCATTCCGTTCTTCTTAACTTTTGTGTGTGTGTGGTTAATCTGCCTATTGTTGTTATTGCCTTATCTATCCTGACATAAGTTTCTTCGACGAGCGATTGTTGTAATTCACTGTGAATCCTAGACAGGTAAAAAGGTCACTTACTCTACAGTTCTTCGCTATCTGTGTAGACTGCAGGTCTATTATTAACACCTTGCACTATAACCTTGTTTTCTTTTTGCTGGCTGTGAGTCCATATTCAAAGCATGCCTGGGCAAATGCAGATAGGAAGCATTGTAGCTCCTCCTCTGAGTGGGTAGGAATTTTTGCATCTTCTGCAAACAGCAGCTCTCTACTAAGTACCTTTCGTATGTTGGTTTTGAACATTCGAGCATTGTAAATAAAGACTGCCGTCAGATTGATAATAGATGTATATACCACCCTTCTGATGTCGAAAGGCATAGATAAAAAGAAATGAATATATAGTATATTCCAGAGTAGGAGAGTAGGAGAAAGAACAAATCCCTGCTTCACCCCATCGAAACAGAGACCAGGAGCATTACAACTGACAACGAACAACTTACATTTTAAACATGTCAATCCTTCGTATTCGCTAACACATCCCAGACGGCATTCTCCTGAAATGTGATGACAAACTTGCGAGTTCTGGCTGACATCTGTGGCACAGAACTGGCTGCAGTTAGATTTGCAACCTTCTCCATATGTCAGATTAGTACAAGCTGTGAAAAACATGGTTGAAAAAAACTGTAAAGATAAGGTTTAAAGTAAACTTCTCCATTTATATATAAAAAAAGGGAAAGGACTCTTTTCCGCGCCTTTAGGCGTATAGGGCATATGGGGCTAGATCTATATTTTATAGACCAATCGGCACAAGATGGGTGATGTGGTCAGCATCACACAGGCCGCCTTAACTTCCCGGTACTTCACCCATTCAAGGCTGGGTCGACCTGGGAGCCAAGGTCATTTTTGAAAAAAGTCAGGCTCCGCTAGGGTTCGAGCCCACGACAAACTTATCCATACGTCAGATTATCTCAAGCTGTGAAAAACACGATTTAAAAAAAAAACAGTGTAAAGAGAAGGTCCCAAAAGTAAACTTCTCCATATATCAGATTGTCACAAGCTTGGAAAAACATAATTAATTAAACAGTGTGAACATAAAGCCTCAATTATAAGTCTTTAAGGGAGACAACAGGTAAAGCAAAACCAAAATTTTTTAAAATAAAGAAAAGTCTATACAATTTTAATTTTCAACTGAGACGAGAAGGAGCATTCTCAAGAGCTATATCAATCTATTCTGATACTGAGAAAGTGAATAGTGGACACTTGGACGGTTGGCGAAAAATTATTTGAAAGCAGCGGAGACGCGGTTTTGTAGATAGTAATGAAGATATAATAAAACAAAGTGACTCACGAAGAAGCCTGACTGCCCACATCAGGAGACAATCTACATTCTGTCATGTGGTGAGTAGGAGAAAACTCGAGTACAGTGGGAAAGCTGGAGGGGAAAAGAAGCAGAATAAAATGTGAAAAGATGCTGCACTGTTTGACATCATGACCTGGAAGATCATCTGTGTCATAAATGATTAAAAGTACTCGAGACCGAAGGTTGTGAAAAGATATGACTTTTAACACTATATCGTATGGACTATCAGAAGGAACCATTTACGCCATTTGAGAATATTACATATTGTGCAATGCACTTTTTTTTACCCTCAAAAGCAGCTCTCGAATGGTCTTCGTTTTCTTCTTTTCCTCCTCCTTCTTCTTCCTCGACTTCTTCTTCTTCTTCTTCTTCTTCTTCTTCTTCTTCTTCTTCTTCTTCTTCTTCTTCTTCTTCTTCTTCTTCTTCTTTCTTTCTTCTTCTTCTTCTTCCTTCTTCTTTCTTCTTTTTTCTTCTTCTTCTTCTTATTATTATTATTATTATTATTATTATTATTATTATTATTATTATTATTATTATTATTATTATTATTATTCCTCTTCTTCTTCTTCTTCTTCCACTCCTTCTTCTTCTTTTCATCCTGTTTTTTTTTTTCAGAAAACCATATACAGGAGGCCAGTAGCCTTGATGAAAGCTGTCGTGCTGTCTAATCACAACTAAACAGGAGACACGGTATGTCTTCGGTTCAAATATGCACGCCTCTTGAGCAAAGTGTGCAAAGCAAGCTATGGGGAACCAAGAGGGACCTGCAAATGACATGGGAATTCATAGAGGCAACCTACCTGATGATCTGACCTGAGCATACCAATTTGAACGCAAATAACAAAAAGAAGAAGAAAAAATCTGCACGTATGTGGATATCACCCCTTATAAATTGACCTAGGTCGACGGGGCCTTACATGGGTAACAGGTAAAGTCCTGGAACGTAAAGGCGGCATGCGTGCTTTGATCACACCGACTGCCGATGGATCAATAATTATTCGGGTCTATCATGGTACGCCTGAATTATCACTCTCGTAAGAAAGAATCTTTACTTGAACTTCAGACGTAGCATATTTCTCTGAATCTCCAGATTCAAAATGTGTCTGACAAGTTACATGAGATAAGCTAGACAGTAAGTTATACAACCTGCGTTTTTCGTCTTCTTTGTTCAAAATTGAAACCAAACTTTGTTCAGAAAAAATTTAAAAATTGTCATTTTAGAAAATAATAGTTCACAATATAGCATTAATCAAAACATAAAGATTGAACCACACAGTTTTTTTTTTTTCCAAAGTAACAAAAGTCTCAGCTATCTCGCAGACATTAATGAAGAAAATAGGGGCTTTTGAGTTGAAATTCCGTACAGATTCTAAAAATGCCATAGACCAAGAATAAAAGGAATAAAAATGAATACTGATATCCTAAAAGACCCGAACATTAACCATGATTCGTTGGTAAACAACATCTTGTCTCTTCAACAGAAACAGTTTGACTATTTTCAGTGCCAAAAAAAAAAATAGCAGAAGGCATTGTACCAGGAAAGAGAGGCAGTAACAGATAACACAAAGATGGAAAGGGGATGTAAGTGACACCTTATGTAGGAAAGTGCACGAGGCGGAAGAGCTGGCGAGGGACCGTGTTTCTTTCAAGCAGACCGTGTGGAGAGCGACGTTCTGCTACGGACTTGCTACATGATAATGATGTAACTAACAACAATTGCTCTCACTGTTTATAAAAAAAAAATAAAGCATGGGAGAGTGGTGAACAGAGATGTGTAGACACATAAATAGTAATATTGTCGTGAAGTGAGCAGCCAACCCTACACGATGGACGAGTTTTGAATTTGACTTGCCTACGCGGACAGTCAAATTTAAAACTTAAACCAGTCCGGAGGAGTATATAGTCCCTTATATTAATATATACCTCTATCGGGTAATATATTCATTTCTAGACCCTCTAGTTGCTTTGATAAATCTTCATTTTCAAACTTGCAACTGTAGGTTGAAGATTTCTGGTATTTTATTCAGAAATTCCTGTAAGCCGGTTTACTCCTTAGGCATGAATACAGGGAACTTCTTTCCTAGAGACGCCGAGTTTAGGTTTTAGCGGCATTCTCTCGCCTGATTCCTAAGTGTCAAGAAGTGTATACAGTCTATGTAGAAATTAGCGCATTCACAGTTCCAGTTCTATCTTAGAAGAATTCCCAAGCTTGGGATGAAATCTTCTTAAAAGTCAGGCAGACGAATCACAACCCATAACCAGCAATCATCAACCTATACACAGCAATCACCATCCCATACCATTCCTATCACAAATCCCAACCAAAAACCCTACCTATTGTAGGCAGAACATCAACATGGCAGGAGTTTGTGTGTGAGTTCCAGTGGCTGAGTGACAGTTTTGCAGGCCACCTGTGTCATCAACCCGAAGAATCCTTCTTCAGGAACGTGTGTGTGAGTTCCAGTGGCTGAAAGACAATATTGCAGGCCACCTGTGTCATTAATCCAAGGGAGTCTTCCTCGGGAGCTGTGTTGGGCTCCAGCGAAGTTCCTTTGTCATCTGTAGGAGGATCAGTGGGTGCCAAATCAACCAGAGAGAAACGCCATCTATTGAGTCAGCCGATTCAAGTCAGCATGGACTGAGGGGAGCAGAGAAATACCACGAACTCTGGCTGTTTCAACATCATTGCTGTGACATTAAGTCATGAACTCCTTTCACTGAAACCTATCTTTAATGTCTTGATATTTATATATTTGTATATATATTGAACGTATTACATGTATTCTGAGAAAATTTCATGGCTGACTGGGGTGTCCCTGTTTCACCACTCTAACTATCTTATTTTATATTTGTGTGCTTAATCAGTGTAATCTGTGTTAACATGGTTATGATAATATACTATCATAACCTGGGGGCTATCTTTTTATAGTAGTGGGGGTGTCCAGCCAAGTGTGCCTAGAAATACTAGATATTCTTTAGTGCTAGAGCTTGAGTTTCCCTACTCCTGAAATAAGTTGGGCGTATATTGGCCACGGGATATCCCTTAGACCAATACGAGCCAACGACTCAACATAATTATTTCAGAGTGCTGTTGGTTCTTAAGGAGAAATCCTTAAATCAGGCACGTGACAGGAGCGATATGTGTCAAATATGTAAAAATAATAATAAGAAGAAGAATAACTCCGCAGCGGTAGCATACTCAGCAGGAGTCTACCCATCAGCAGATCGTGGGTAACCAGTCGACAAATGTTTCGGCCTGTTATCCTCCTATACCAGTGGTCGGCAAACCGAGGCTCGCGTGCCGAATGCGCCTCTTTAGCGACCTGAGTGCAGCTCTTTGTATTTTTTTATTTTATTTTTATTTATTTTTTTTTTTTCAATAAAAAAGATTATTATTATTATATATGGTTGTATTTAATGCTTAGTAGCTTGTTTAAACCGACTCAGAAAAATATGACACTTGACAGGTTCTTGAAAAGAAATTTAGCATTAAAAAAATGGTCATCGTCCTGTTACAAATTTTTGGCATTTTTGACAAATGGGTTTGCCGACCACTGTCCTAGACAATCTCTAGGGACAGGCCGATCTGGATCAAGATTCCCAGGCCTCGGACTTCTCCTGCTGCGCTTATCGGACATTCCGACAAGACGACATGGTGGTTAGCAACAGGTACTGGGGATATGGTGTTATCGTTGCTAGGGTAGCAAATTGAGCGCCTACCTGTGCGACCAGAGTAACAAGTGGACGGTTGTTTCATCGGACAGACGTTTAAGTAAGGTGGGACTGCTTGTTTTTTAATATAAATGTTGAATGTTGAATTAAGCATCAAAATCACGGCACTCGGGACACATAAGCGCTCTGTCTTCATCTTCAACAGCAAGCGAAAAGTTCAAATTCCGATGATCCTAGTAACTGTCTGATTGTATATCCATATCGCTGCGGAGTGTGTACTCTGTGTTTGATACCATCTTCAGGTGGTAACAGAGAGAGTGGGAAGAGAAGATGGCGAGGAAATGGAGAGAAACAAAGGCAATTGGGAACTTCCTTTGAAGTCGGAGTGCGACTGCCTGAGAGCCAAGTCTGCATACAAATAAGTCAGAGCTGTAAAACGTATGCACAGGCAACACTCAGGTTTTGGAACGGGGCTGAAGTCCAAAAGTGAATGTACAACCAGAACTTTCCGCCAGAGTTTACAGCTGGTAAACGCAAAGAAGAAGAAAAAGAAGAAGACTTGGGCTCACAGTCAGATCCAGCACATACACTGGGATTATTAGGACCAGCATTTGCAGTGGGGAACAGTCCTTACCAGCCTGTGACAACAGGTTATACATGGCTTAGATGATGTTTACGTTAGGGGTGCCCTAATTATAACTTTTTAGAGGTTGAACTGGCTGTCTGGGATCTGACCTGTTGGTCTTCAGTCCAAATTGAGATTATTCAATTTCAGGATTGTATGGTTAGACTTTAGGTAGCATCTCGAAGGGGACACATTGATCTTGCCATAGGTTGTAAAGAGTGTTTGTTGAGACATTATTCCCCTTAGTACTGATTAGTCAATAAAATATTCGGCAAGCACTGTGCGGCCAATACACCTGATGCGGCTTTTTTTTTTTTTTTTGGGGGGGGGGGGGGGGGGGGGGGTCAACTTTTGCTACTCATTTATTGCAGTATTGGTCATACGAGATCTTTACCAATGGCCCATAGTTTCTCAAAACGAACTATTTCTACCAACGCCAACCCTATCACTTCTTCTTTTCTGCTTCTGCTTTTCTAGCCCCGAATGGAGCATAGGCCCTCAACCAACTCACGCCAAGTCGTTCTATCATTTGCTATCGCATGCAGCGAGCTCTCCCCATGTCCTTCCAAACTTTCTAAATTCATACTCCAGCTCTTCTCCACGGTTTTTTTTTTTTTGGCCTTCCTCTATTCATATGCCCCTGTGGGTTCCAATGCAAAGTCATTCTAGCTATATTGTTCTCTTGTTTTTTCAATGAGTGTCCTATCCAACGCCAGCGTCTTTTCTTTACCTCTTGGTTCACTGAAGCTTGCTAAGTTCTCCCCCAAATGCCTACATTAGTGATTCTGTCATACCATTTAATTCCCTCTATTCTGCACAGGCACCAGTTAATGAATGTTGTAGTTTTTTTCAGTAATTGCCTTAGTTGTTCTCCATGTTTCCGCTCCTATCACTACCATTAGCACTACTACTTTTATTACAGTAACAACAACAACAACAATAACATCCTCAACAGTAACTATCAATATATATTACTAGTTCTACATTCACTACCACAGTTGGTAATATTACTTTTACCACAACTATCACTTCTACCTCTTTTACTAGTACCACTATCAATACTACTAAATTGGAGGGTCTGGGGTGTCAGATACTAGTAGTACCTCTAGCAAGGTGACCATCATGTCCTTCCTAGGGCAGTTCACCACCACTGGGCTAGCTCTGGCACTCAGCATTCTCCTGTGGCTCCCAGCAGCGAACAGCATGCGACAGCGGCCTCCTCCCGGGCAACAGCTTTGACAAACTAGCTACACCAGGAGAGGTTAGCCGATCTGGTTCTAAACCAATCGGTGATTGGGATTTGCCTACCCTGCATGCAAAGCAAAGACTGGACTCGGCGGATTGTGCAGAAGAAACCTCTTATTAGTTCAACGGATAAGAAGGCGATTACCGGCAGGCTCTGTAGAGAGCTATGAGCAAGGCAAGGCACTTAAGACGCCTTGGTCATCCACTGCACCTAGGTCTATTTCCAATCGTCTCGACATTGTCCTGCCATTGGATCAAGATGGACACAGGCGAGAGAGTGAGGTCGATGAATTGTGCAACTCTTCCTTACTTAAATCCAAGTCCTTGCCCAAGTCACTTTCATTCAGCTCGTGATGGACAAACATTACTACTAAATTAACACATTTTGTCATTTTATTATCACTATTACTGCTTGCACGTTAACACACTTTGCCATGTTATAATGTTCCTATCTTTATGTTTCTTCCAACAACAACAACAACAACAACAACAACAACAACAACAACAACAGCAGCAGTTGTGACTTGTATTTCTGTTGTTCCAAATGTTACCTATTTTAAATCGACAAGCGTATGGAACAGAAAAACACTTAATTAATCTGTCACATCTTATCTGACAATGCACTTACGTTTGTCACACATGACCCCTTGATATCCGATCTTACAGCCTGACTTGCATTCTCCATTTTCATTGTGACAGCTCTCAGTGCCCAGGCAGTTCTCACTGCAAATACTTGCACACATCTTACCGTAGGTTCCAGGGCCGCAAACTGTGGATTCCCAAAGCCAGAATTCAATTACTGCACAAGCACTTAGGGGTGTTAATTTAAACTTACTATCATCCTCTTACCCCCCCCCCCTCCCACTTCCACCCCTCCCCCTTTACTCTTCTTCCTTTTTTGTCCTTCTTCGCGTTTACCAGCGGAAACTCCGGCGGAAAGTTCTGGTTGTTCGTCCATTTCTGGACTCTAGCCCTGTTCCGAAAAGTGAGTGTTGCGTGCGCATCCGTTTCACAGGTCTGGCTCATTTGCATGTGGACAGAGGGTTCCTTGAATCTTCGGCAGATATACTCCGAGTTCGAAGGAAGCTCCTAATTAGTCGGCTGTTACGACATGCTATTGAACAGGCAATGGGTCTATTTAAGTTTTCCCCTACAATGGGGCCCCGTAACCCACACGGGGACTCTCTTGTTGTTTAACATGTAGCAAAATTAAAGCATCTCCTCTCATACAATGAGGCATACTGGATATGCGTCGATAGCCCTCATGTTTGATATTGTACGATCTCCCTAAAAAGAATATTTCGATTCGTATAATTAGCGCTGGGAGAAAAAAAAACAGAACAAGAACAAGAACATAAACAAAAAGAACGGAAACGCGAACATAATCAGTAGCAGCAACAGAGGCGATAGTAACATTTGTAGTTGTTGCAGCAGCATCAACAGCAGCAGTAGTGGTAGTAACAGTAGTAGTATAGTAGTAGTAGCAGCAGCAGTAGCAGCAGCAACAGCAACAGTAGTAGTATCAGCAGTAGTAGCAGCAGTAATAGCAGTAGCAGCAGAAGTAATAGTAGTAGTGGTAGTAGCAGCAGCAGCAGCAACAGCAGCAGTAGTAGTCGTAGCAGCAGCAGTCTTCTGATGCAGCAGCCACTCTAGGGTACTTCTACTAACTGTTCCCTTGAGAGGTTGCTTATAATGGCTCCTATCTTGTACTCGAGGGCGGCATAGACTCTACGCAATCGTGTTAGTGTCAGAGATTCGTCATTATCTACTAGCCCAGTCAATACAGTTGATGATAGCTGCTCTGACCATGCTTCTTCCAACATGCGTTGGTGCATTGGTTACTAGTTGGTCCGCTCGCTAATCACCCTTTACGCCTGCATGATCACATGTGTAGATCCAGGTGAGTGAGGTTAAGTGCGATTTTTGAAAGCCTTTTACCCATTTAGAGCGCATATTTCCTGAAGCAAGTTCATGGAGTCTGATACAATTACTGCATGTGTGGCTCTTTGCTTTGGTGCCCATTCTAGTGATCTAGAAGCAGCAGCTATTTCCATGGTCAATGGTATGCGAATGCTGACCTTGATTCGCGCTTCACAAGCCACTATGTGTAGATGAGGATGTCTTTTGGATCTGAATGCTGATTTATCAGCACCGTAAATCGGTTAGGATATAACCTGTAGTCCAGTATGAGTGGGTTCAACATTTATAATCCTAACCTTTTAATGGGTATACAAACCTAGTGCGCGCAGCTGGGACATAAAAATAAAAGCAGGCATGGGGACAAAATTATTGAGACGGTAAGGAAGAAAGAAAGAAAGAAAGAAGACAGACAGACAGACAGACAGACAGACAGACAGACAGACAGACAGACAGACAGACAGACAGACAGACAGACAGACAGACAGACAGACAGACAGACAGACAGACAGACAGACAGACAGACAGACAGACAGACAGACAGACAGACAGACAGACAGACAGACAGACAGACAGACAGACAGAAGACAGACAGACAGACAGACAGACAGACAGACAGACAGACAGACAGAAAGAAAGAAAGAAAGAAAGAAAGAAAGAAAGAAAGAAAAAGAAAGAAAGAAAGAAAGAAAGAAAAGAAAGAAAGAAAAAGAAAGAAAGAAAGCAAAAGAAAGAAAGAAAGAAAGAAAGAAAGAAAGAAAGAAAGAAAGAAAGAAAGAAGAAAAGAAAGAAAGAAAGAAAGAAAAAGAAAGAAAGAAAGAGAAAGAAAGAAAGAAAGAAAAAGAAAGAAAGAAAGAAAGAAAGAAAGAAAGAAAGAAAGAAAGAAAGAAAGAAAAGAAAAAAGAAAGAAAGAAAGAAAGAAAGAAAGAAGAAAGAAAGAAAGAAAAAGAAAGAAAGAAAGAAAGAAAGAAAGAAAGAAAGAAAGAAAGAAAGAAAGAAAGAAAGAAAGAAAGAAAGAAAGAAAGAAAGAAAGAAAGAAAGAAATAGCACCTACCTTCTTCACACTGATCTCCTCGTTTTCCTGGCTGACAATCTTTACAAACACCGGTGACGTGGTGGCAGTCAGAGTTCAAACAAGATACGTTGCAATGTTGTTGACACCCTGCTCCAAAAGTCGTGACGTCACACACTGGCGAGAACAAGAAAGAGGCCATACATTTTGTATTTTGTCAATTGATGATGGGAGACAATAATGAAAAAAAAAGCTAACGTGTATAAATGAATGATTTCATTAAGAATTAACTCACTGCAATCAGGACAGTCCCACACGTGCTCCGCCCCCCTCTTTAGTAACCAGCGAAGAGGTGAAATGCTAACAGTACAGTTGCAACTCGATCAGTGTTGAATATCTCCCAGAATCTCTACTCACCCGCCCTCCCCCCCCCCCCCCACACTTTTTTTTGCATCGTTGAACTGGTCTTTCAGTGTATGTATTACGTATATATTCGTTTGAACGGTTAATCTATCAGCCTGCTCGTTACCTCGCACACCTGTATTTCCTGGACAGAAAATTCATTATATGAGCATGATCTGAGTCTTAAAAAGTGATGCAATTCACTCTGATCGCAAGTCACCAGTTTCAATTTTCTCTACAGACTCATCTGTATATATTCTGATGTCACCTTAGCGTGCATTTTAATTGATCATCTTTTGCACTGCTATCTCTATTTCACCAGCTATCCGTTCCCGGCACTCTCGGTCCAAGGTAACTATCATGCTGTACAAGTCTGTTTTGTGGTCGGCACTGTAACAGCCAGCTCTTTTGAGACACTGTCACTTGTTATTTCCAAAGGCTGTCGTGCTCCCTGCCCATTGTGATTTTAAGCTATATTTTTCGCATTAAAATCCTTATCTATATCATATACGAATAGTAATGCAAGTACATGCCACATGGACACAACTGGCGTGTCTTGTGTACACCAAAAAATGACTCGAATGGCTTCATTTTGTGTGCGTTCCAACTTCTCTTGGGGGGGGGGGAGGAGGGGGGAGAGATTAGATAATATTAGCAGTCTAAAACTATACTCCATCACCGAAATAATAAGTTGCTGGTAAAGTGTAGAGAGCATTGTCTGTCCCATGTCTGCTGATGCCATCACATTCAAAGCTTTGAGTCCTGTCCCTATCATTAAAACTACCTCTCCAACATAGTATTTGAAAGACAGAATCCAGTCAAAAGTAATTCCTAGATATTTTAGTGAATTATATTTTAGTAAATTATCTCTTTGTTACTGCGGTTTTTTGTGATATCCGACAGCACATCTCTGACAAATATATTATTTAAAGAACACCACAATACAGCCGCCTTATCTGGTCATTTTTGAAAAAAAAAAGTCCGGCTCCGTCAGGACGCGAACCCACGACCTTCCGATCCGTAGGCGGGCGTCTAGCCGGCAACGCCATGGCGACCCCCGTATATGAACAAGAGAACTAGATAATGTGGGGGGAAAAAAACAAATGAGAAGGACAACTAATGAGTAGCACTCAGTGGCACAGGATAGGTCGATGACGCGCAGTGATTGTTGACTTTGCCAGCAGTGCTCAAACTTTTTGCGCCGCGGAACCCTTGTAGGGCAAACAAAATATCACGGCACACATACCCTCAAAGCGGTAAAAACAGTACACATATAATGTTCAGTTCTCTTTAATGCGATGAATGAAACTGTTCGAATGAATTTTTCATATTGCCTGTATGTATATGGGACGTTTATTTAATTTTACTCTCAAATCACTTGATCCAGAAAGTTTGCTCCTGTGTCTGGTGTTTTTTTTTTTTTTTTTTATGTAAGCGTACGTTGAGAATGCACTACAGCATAGCCAATAACATTATCTTTTGAATACACTTGGATTCAGAACTCTCTTTGGCTTCCTTCATGGCATTTCTGTTTTAAACTGCTGTCTTCACTGATCTCAAGCAGATTTTGAAATATTCTTGGTTATTGCCGCGGCACTCAGTTTGAGAACCGCTGACCTAAGCTAGGCTTCACTGGATACAAAGGATAAAATTAGAAGAATAGTAAACTAAAGTACAGGATCCTTTTTACCACAGTGACTCATCGGACATATGGTGCCAGATCCATATTTTTGTATAAACGAATCGGGTTTGTCTGTATTGTGGTCAGCTACTTGTCTGTTATTAACTGGAGTCAGTATTCGGCTGGATAGAGCAGACGCCAAGGTCTGCTTTGAAAAACAAAATCGGCTTGATGGGGATTCGAACCCAAGACAAAGAAGAATTTGATCATGAAAACCTTTTGTCTAACCTGGTCTAGTGGAAAATATGTTGAAAACTTGACTTCTCTCTGGGTGGGTTTGTGTCAAGTATTCTTTTTTTTTACATTTTCTTGCAGTGTTTATTGATAAAGGCTTCTGCGAAAACTTTTTGTTGTTCCTATGAGTCCCCAACCAACATGCCCCATTCCCCCCCCCCCCCCACCTTTTTGAGCATTGTCATAGTTGGTAAATTCCGTGGAATATGTGTCCACGATCCTGACATCTAGATCCTGTGTACATCATATGTGTCCATTATATTGACATCTCGATCCTGTGTACATCATATGTGTCCATTATATTGACATCTCGATCTTGCGTACATCATAAATTCCCTTATCTTGACATCTTGATTTGTGTACATCATTTGAGATATTGCAATAACAAAACAAAAACAAAAAACAACAGCAGCAACAACTAAAAACAAAAAGCAAAACAAAACAACATTGTACCTTGGTCACATAGAGCGCCCTTGTATCCAGGCATACATCCATGTAAGCAAGCGCCATTCTGTTTACTGCATGTTCCATTACAGTTCTTTGAACAAGGTTGAGAGCAGTTGTAGCCATAGAAGCCAGAGTCGCATTCTAACGGGAGATAAAGTTATTGTATAAGCCATGGACACTGGTCATCATCTGTTGAGAGAGAGAGAGAGAGAGAGAGAGAGAGAGAGAGAGAGAGAGAAAGAGAGAAAGAGAGAAAGAGAGAGAGAGAGGGGAGAGAGTTACTTATAGGTCATGGACACTGGTCATCATCTGTTGAGAGAGAGAGAGAGAGAGATAAAGTTATTGTATAAGCCATGGACACTGGTCATCATCTGTTGAGAGAGAGAGAGAGAGAGAAAAAGAGAAAGAGAGAGAGAGGGGAGAGAGTTACTTATAGGTCATGGACACTGGTCATCATCTGTTGAGAGAGAGAGATAAAGTTATTGTATAAGCCATGGACACTGGTCATCATCTGTTGAGAGAGAGAGAGAGAGAGAGAGAGAGAGAGAGAGAGAAAGCGAGAGAAAGAGAGAGAGGAGAGAGATTTACTGTATAGGTCATGGACACTGGTCATCATCTGTTGAGAGAGAGAGAGAGAAAGAGGAGAGGGAGGAGAGAGAGATAAAGTTATTGTATAAGCCATGGACACTGGTCATCATCTGTTGAGAGAGAGAGAGAGAGAGAGAAAGAGAGAGAGAGAAGTGAGAGTTACTGTATAGGTCATGGACACTGGTCATCATCTGTTGAGAGAGAGAGACAGGAGAGAGAGAGAGTTACTGTATAGGTCATGGACACTGGTCATAATCTGTAACGTTCTAAAAAGATTCACAAACTATATGATATTCTGTTCCTCTCTGTATTTGGCACACGATGTTTTAATAAACTGTCATTCTGGCGTTGTGTCAAAGATAAACATGAGAAAGGTCTGAGCACGTCAACAATAAATCAACTTGCCTTCGTTGCAAAATGGAGGCTTGTATCCCAGACTACAGCCGTCGACACAGGTCCCATCAGCAGCGTTACAGGCAACCTTGACACACTGGTAGCTACATATCTGTGTACAACCTTTGCCGAACCTGCCAATGTCACATGCTGAAAACAAAAGAGAATAAGTCATTTGTTACTCTGTGTGCTATTTATTATCTCATTCTGCTGTTTCTTTGTTCATTATTCTTCAACGAACCGTTTATTTAATAGGTGTCTTTTTGCATGGCAATATTCTTGACTTCCTGACTACGTATCTCCCCCCCCCCCTCTCTCTCTCTCTCTCTCTCTCTCTCTCTCTCTCACTCTCTCTCTCTGGCTAACAATTCCAGTCATCTTCTTGTAAGATGCAATTTTTCTCTTTTTTGAAGCCTCACCCTGGCTCTTACCAGAGGCTGCAATATGGCCCGACCATAAGTATGGTCTATTTACTGAACGGGTTTCTGGGACCTCTCCACGGTGAAACTCATCCATACGGTGGTACTTTGTGTCACCGGGTGTTTATCGCTTGTGTGATGTCCTGGTTAGGTACAAATCTACTACTGCTACGTTATCTGCCTCTCTTTAATTTCTTCTCTCCTGTTTTTCAACTCCCAACGGAGGGCATCTATCCAGTGGCAACTTATTATTCTGAATCAGTCTTTAAAAAAAATTAATAAGAGCTTTTGAAATTTAAATGCTACAGAAAAATTCCTAGAATACCGTGGAGCAAGAAAAAGAGGAACAAATCGACATCTTATACGATTTTAACATCGAGGATTGGCTCATAAACAGTCAGAGTCCGTCATCCGTGAAGGTGGATTTACAACTTTGAAGACGCATTGGATATGAAAGCACATAGGGCTGAAGAACTAGCTGGAGCAGGAGATACTTTTAGGAGCGCGGTGAAGAGAGCGGTGTTCTGTACAGGACCTGCTGTTTGAGGATGCTGGCGAATACAGAGCACAGGTTATCAACAGACTCATACCAGATCATTCAAAGACCTGTTTACCATAGGTTGGTTTTTACAGCTAAAGCATAATAATCTAATGAAAAGACAAATACATTAAAGGCATCAATAGCTAGTAAAGCGGATGTCTAAGTGGATATTAAAAGAATTAGGATAATATTAAGATTTACCTATTTACCTAGCAACTTTGCTAAAGATTCATTTTTTTTAATGGCAATAGAAATCGGGACCAAATTCCAAACACTCAAACATATCACTTTAAAACAAGTTACGTATTATCAATTCTACTGTTATTTCATTTTCAACATATAGAGGTGAAAGATGCAGAACCACTAAAGACATAGAAATACATTTTAATGCATCCAAGAATGCTTAAGAAAATTGGTGAACATTAAATGGGATAATTTTTTTAAAAGGCGGAAAAAAAAACTTCAGAAGAATGTCTGGACAACTGCTTGCATCAACAGTTATAAGAAGATAAATATGGTGATGCACTGGGAACATCAGGGGAAGAAGGGGACAGGGAATCACTGAACAGGCACTGAAGTGGGGTATTAATAGATCGATACAACATGGACCGCCAAGAGACACTCTGAGAGGAACTTTGTGGAAAGGGCAAAATTGCTGGACTAGATTCCACACACGATATCGACAGGATTGCACGGGATTGAATGAAACAAAGGGGTTGGGTGGGGGGGGGGATATCCTTGGGTGAAATATAACGACAATACATGATATACATATATACATATATAAATATATATATATTCATACTGGAAAGTATATTCCAATTAGATAATGTAATGGAGGCTGTGGTATCTGCAACAGTTAATCTCAATGGCTCGAAAAGATGACAAAGATTTATAAATATATATATATATATTGTATATTTCTAGTAAGGTCGCATAAACTGATTATTGTATCCTTCTGATGTGAAAAGTTGTGTTTTCGGCTTCTGTATGTATGTAAGTGTGTGGATGTGTGTGTGTATGTGTGTGTGTGTGTGTGAGAGAGAGAGAGAGAGAGAGAGAGAGAGTGAGAGAGAGAGAGAGAGAGAGAGTTGTTGTCCCCTTTCAAAACATGCAGACTTTTAATTGTGTCCTTCCGGAATATTTTCAACTTTCTTCCATACAACTATATAAAGTATTCAATTAAATGATTAAATTTAAAATGATTACTCATCAAAATATTTCTGTCACACTGAGGGTATAACAAGAGAAGCATGGTATAATTACACATCCACACCGAGGGAAAAAGTTTTATAGTGAACAAGTGTACTTCAGGGCTGTGTACTATCGCCGCTTCTTTTTATAACATACATGGATACCATGTGTAGCGAAACGAACTTTAATCATGAAGAAGATATTACAGAATTACTATTAGCCGACGACCAGGTACTCATAACAGAAAATACGGAATGCCTACAGAACCACCTAATTCAAATTAGTAACAAAGGGGAGGAATATAATATGAAAATAAACACTACGAAGAAAGAGATAATGGTGACGGGAAGACAAAAAGACAATTTAGAAAAAAAATTAAAAAACAAGACTTTGAGACAAACAGAGGAATTTAAGTATCTGGGAGCAATTTTCACATCCGACGGAAAACTGGACAGAGAAATTAGTTCCAGATGTGCCAAAGCTAATCAAGTAAAGGGGCAACTATCTCCCCTGTTGACACACAAGCAAATACCTCAGAGTACTAAATTGAATCTTATCAGAACTATTTTTTGGCCAACACTATGCTATCAATGCCAAACGTGGACACTTACATCCTCCACTGAAGTAAAATTGTGACAACAGAGATGAAATGTCTTAGAAGAGCTGCAGGAGTTTCAAGGAAAAACAGAATACAAAATCATTAAATCAGACGAATGCTATTACAGGTCTTCAAAGAACAATAAATGAAGTGGTTTTGACACCTAACAAGAATGCCCGGTACTATCTGTCACAGCGAGCCACACTAAAACGTTACAGCGGGTATAGAGCGAGTGGAAGACCTCAGAAAATATGGAGTGATGGTATTAAGAGCAGCCTTACAGAAATGAACATCAGTCTTAATAGTGCTCTTGACAGAGCTAATCAACGAACATTAAACCTCCCCCACCCCCACCCCCACCCCCCCCCCACCCCCGACACTTCAATGAGGTGCAAGGTGGAAGAGAAGAAGAAGAACCGTGGGAAACTAATCAATAAACTGAATGAGATAAAACAAACTCCTTGCTTTTGACATTTTTTTCTTTCTAAAACGGAAAATATAACATTTCTATACAATTTGTCAGGATTTAAAGATCAAAATGTAAACTATACTGCGTTTACGAGTTCGTGCCGATGTTTAAAAAACAAAAACAAATCTCATCTTTTCGCATCTGTTTATCCAATATAAGTGAATGAAATTATATATTAATATTTACTTTATTTTCAACGTTATGTCATAATTATTGCCCGTATAGCAAATAATTATAATCCATTTTTACTTATTCGAGGTATATTAATATATACGATGATCCTTGCTTTGCCTATCAAGTTTATAGCACAACGTTTAAATGTAACCAATCGATCTTTCATTAAATCACATGATTCGTTTGTTTTGTGTAAATTCTGAATAGTACTATAACTGTTGCGCTGAAAGTTTTTCAAGGCGCCATGAAAAGTTTGTGCTGCAACGTGTTATGTTAGGTTTCAGGTACTTCACGTGGAACAGTAAAAAAAAAAAAAATTTTTAAACTAAAATTACACAAATGATGTAAAAAACAAAGAAAACGTTTGTTTTGATACAGCTGAGCAGTCTTAATAATAAGTTTGCATATAACATTCACGTCAAGATGAAAATAGGAGCTCCCACAAAAAAAATCACGTCTCGAGGATAAGTAATTACTGAGATTTTATCAAGAAAACAACGGCTCGAATTTGTAAACACAGTATTCACTGTATTTTTGAAGTAACTATAGCATAAGACAGAATGCGAAACTAGGAAACATGGTTAAAACAACATATATGAAAATATAAAGAACAAAACTAAAGAATTTCTTTCTGTGTGGGACATTTACTTAAAATGTTGGTATCCCATGGTCATCCAATATACTTTAAGGTGTTTTTTTATAACAACAACATTCACACTTGCAATAAGGTATTTATAGCTATCGTTTGTGAAAAGTTAAGATGCATATAAAAGAGAGAGAAAAACTTCATTATACGATAACGCATAAGAGTTCATCGCTGTCTCCGTGAGTTTAAGGTCCTCCTGTCTTTTTGATGGGTGATAAAGTAAGGACTTTCTAGTTACACTATTATTACATTTTCTAATTATGTGTTCAACGATGTTACGTTTACATTGAGGAATACTATGCCCTGCTAATTCTTCAATGTGCTCTTTTCAGTTTGTGTTTATCTATGTGTTAGTTAGTATTTCCTCTTGAACCTAGGGAGGCGAAAAGGGCAGAGGTCATAGCTCTCCATGTCTGTTATAGGTACTCAATGTTTATCAAACGCATGGCCGAGACTTTCCTGACGATGGTTCCACGCAGGATCTCTCTTGGACTTCTCCGTTGTTCCCCCTTGTGAGGGTTTGATGGGGAAGGTTTTTTGATATGGAAATGATATGTTAATTCACGGGAAGTCCGTAATTTACATGTTACAGAGGCCCTGTTAGGGTATATTTTCGGCCTCGATAATTTGGGACCGTTATTCAGAGGATAGCGGAACAAGCTTTCTTGAATTTGCACTGTATAAGATTGTTCCTGGAAAACTACTGAAGGCCGACCAGAAATATGTGGTTGCGACATTAATATCAACAAGAGGGTAAAAGGAATGAGTAAAGGTCCCCTTTCCACGCCTTCGGATGTATTTGGCACATAGGACTAGACCTATATTTAGTGTAACAGTGTGGGTTGAACCTTCTCTCCATAGCACAACGCCTGGGAAGTACTGTGGCGATCATGTATCGCTAATGTAGTAACAGCCTTGTCTAGGTCTGCCTTGTTTACTCCAAAGCAGAGTAAATGAAGTAAAGAAACCTCTTACACGCCTCCAAGGCGTACCGGGCATGAAGGGCTGGACCTATATTTCATGGACCAATCGGCACTTGGTGGGTGATGTGGTCAGCAACACGCTCGCCGCCTTTACTTCCCATGACTTTACTAGGTACCCATTCAAGG